GGGGTACTTCCCAGACAGACATGAACAGAAATTGACTTTTTATCCACACATACATGGCATAGCTCCATACACTTTCATTCAGCCCATATTTTCTACTTCAGATATAAATAAGGATAAGAAAGACACGATGCACAATTTTACACTATTCCAAATCATAATATTCTATTATATTTTCTAACATATAATAGTTCTAGCAAAAGGATTTAGGTTAGTTTGACATATAGGTTTTCATTTGTTTTATACTGAGGATTGAACCCAGGGCCTTTGCACTGACCTACATTCCTGCCACTTTTAAAATTTTGATACTGAATTATGTAGACTAGGTTCCGTCTTGCAATCCTCTTTCTTCTGCCTCCTAGAGTTCTGAGATAACACACCTGTACCATTATGCCTGGTTAGTTTGGCATGTTGCCTTGGCAAACTCATACTACTTTGGGAGACTAATGATGCTCTTAACCATCCTTCCAATTTAACTGGCAAGTTTGGAATTGGTATCAAAGTTCAAGAACTCACTTTTTTATTGTTTTTGTAAATTACTTAGTGTATATTAGGCATTCTTCAAGTACTGAAGAGACACTTGTTGAAAAGGATTTTTCTCACCTTAATGTGGTGAAAAATAGACAATACAAACAAGAAAATAAGCATTGATAAAGAGTAATTCCAAAAAACCAAGGCGATATGAAGGAATTGCAAGGGGTTAATTTAGTCAGAAAACTAACCTCGGAGGGGCATTGTTTAGATTGAAACTGATAATCTGTATTTTATAAAATCTATTGGCTTTTCACTTATGAAAATCAAGACATTTTCCATTATAAGTCTTCTGTCTTCATGATTTCCGTCTTCATAATTTTATGACAATACGCCAAGTATGAGAAAATAAAATGGTCTCCAAATCTGATACAAAGCATTCACCTTCTAAGATCTGAATAGTTTTATGGCTTTGGCAAGGAAGTTGGAATCTGATGAAGTAAACCATGAAGTAATCAAGTTTCCTATACTTGGTTCTGAAGAGTAAGTATGAAAAAAAAAAAAAAAGAGTAAGTATGAATGATGAGATGTGTCACCTGAGATTGTAATTAAGAGTGTTGATTTGTTTAAACAAAATGCATGCAAAAGATCTTTAGGTTGTCTGAAATATAATTATTTTGCCAATATACAAAATTTACCAGATACTTTTAAAGGTGATATCTAGGTAAAATTCGGTCTTGAAAGTAGAAATAATTGCTCCAAATGGATTGCCCTGAAAAACAGGTCACATAAAGACAATACAGGTTTCATATCCCAAATGTTATCAGAAACTGAGCCAATTTTTTATGTTAAGAAAAAATTTTGATAGTGCCTTGAGATCCCAATTTAAATTCTAAAGCAATTGACATACTTTAGTGCTAAGTAGTAATACAGTATGGCTTGACAACCTACAATTTCATTAAGGTTAAAAGTCAATTTGAAGTTTGGCAAAATAATCTTTCAAGAAGGATAACTGATGGAAACAAATGAAAGTCCAGAACTCCTATGTATGGCGATAGGTTGCCATTCAGGCATTATACTTGAAAGAAATCAGCTAATAACTAGGCCACTGCTGGATTCCCGAAAAAAAATTTTATCTCTGGATTGCTTTGGAAACAGGCATTTCAAATTAGCTTTTCATTACTTTGTAAACTTAGCTTTTCATTAAGTTGAACAAACTTATACCACAAGTTTATTTTATTTAACAGTGAGAATGGGTGTTTTATTCCTTATTTTGGGAGAACACGCTCAGAACCAATGGTTAGTGTCTGACTTGTCTGGAAAGAGGTTATATTTAACTAAAAACAAACAAAAAAAAAAGCAAAATTTTAATGATACTAAGACATTTTAAAGTATAAGGGAAACTCACTTGAAATATATGATATGGCTTTACTTGTCACCCTTTAAAAACCATTACAATTTAAATACATGGATTCACTAAATAATAAAAATTACAGAAATAATTATAGCCAGCTTTTTGTATTCATTCATTTCATACCATGGATTCAACTAATCATGGATGAAAATAGTACAGAAAAAAATTGCATTCTGTACCAAAGATTTAGACTTTGTTTTCTGGTTAGTCTTCTCTAACCAATATAAGTGTGACTGCTATCCAAATAGCATTCATATTGTTTTAGGGATTATAAATAATCTGCAGGTGACTTGAAATATGTGGGAGGATGTATTCAGGTTACATACAAATATTATGCCATTTTATACAAAGGACGGGAGCATTGGTGGATTTTGGTATCAGTGGATTTTTTTCTTTCTTTTTTATTGAGACGGGATCGTGTTATGTAGCCCACATTGGCCTTGAACTCACAGTGATCCTCCTGCCTTAGCCTCAATACTGGGATTACAGGCATATGCCACTATGCCCAGCCTATCAGTGGATTTTGAAACTAATCCCCATGGATACTAAGGGACTGTGTATCTGTTCATGTGGTAACAAACATACAATGGACTGCTGAGTTATGATCAGCTTCACATATGAAACACTAGGGTTATGACTGGAATTTCAGAATTTACAACCAAAGTCTTGAGTTACGACCCAAATGCCAGCCACTTGTGCAGTTACTTGTAAAAAGACTTGTGATGCCAGAAAAGCATATGTGTCAGTCTGAGCCCAGATGTGCATGTCTGTGGATATTTCAGTCTTTGCTTTGTATAACCACTACAATTACTGCTATCAAAATGGCTCTCCAAAAAGCTAGAAAAGCAGCTAAGTATGAAAGGGAAGGTAAAGAAAGCAATCACAATTGAAAAGGAACTTGTGGAGAAATATGAGAGTGGCATTTGTGTGACCAGTCTCACTAATATGTACAGTTATGTCAAAATCCACCATCTCAATAATCTTACAGAGAAAAGATTTGTATAAGGAAGCTAGTGTTGCTAAAGGTGTTACTCAAAGTAGTAAGTCATGAGCAACAGTGTTCAATGAGGTAGAAAGGCTATTATTAGTGTGGATAAGTGAAAGGCAGATGGCAGGTTATAGCCTATCTGAATCTATAATTTGTGAAAAAGCTAGGATTATACATGCTGATCTCCTGAAGGATAATCAAGGAGTGATAATGGTGAAACATTTCATGCCAGTAAGTGAGAACTGCAGTTCACAGAGTAACTAGGCATAGTGAAGCAGCCAGTGCTGTTAAGCACTTCTGAAAATTACACATATCACTTCAAAACAATGACACAGAGAAATGGCTTTTGCTCTCATCGTTTGCAACTGTGATGAAACTGGCCTCTTCTGGAAGAAAATGCTCAGGAGTACATTATCCAGGAAGAAAGGAAAATGCCAGTCCACAAGCCTATGAGGGACAGGCTAACCTTACTGCTATATGCCAATGTGAGACATGACCTCAACATAAAGCCTCTCTTGGTTTATCACTCTCTTAGAGTGTTCAGAAAACATAAAGTATAGGTTAGGGGTCATGTGGAGATCTAACACAAAAGCCTGAGTAACAAGAGTACTTTCTCTTGAGTGGATCAAGGAGGCTTTCTCTCCTACTGTTAAGATCTAGAGAACAAAGTTTTACCACTCAAGGGTCTCCTCATCAAGGACAATGCTCCTGCTCACCGATGAGATTTGGAAGAACTGGCTGAAGAATTCCCATGGCTCTTAGGCGAGTTCCTCCCACCTAATACAACTCTTTTACTGTAGCCTATGGACCAGCAGGTTTTAGCTAACTTTAAGAAGCTATACACCAAGGAACTGTTCCTGAAGGGCTTCCAGACGGTCTCAGATAGATTTAACTCTTTAAGAGTTCTGGAAGGAACATTACATCCTTTCCTGTGTAAGGTTGAGAAATCCTGGGCCAGTGTCTCTCTAAAGGACACTAAGATCTACCTGGAAGAAAGTGTGGTCTAATATTATAAAGGAGAGACTTTGAAGGCTGTGTAGAGGAGCCTGCGCCTTCAACTGACCCTGTGGTTGATGACATTGTCATTGTAGCAGAGTTCATAGGCTTGCAGATAGACAGTGGTGATGTTGAGAAACTGGTGGAGGAACACTCAGAGGAATTGTCTACAGAGGAACTTCAGCAACTTCTGGCTGAGCAACAGAGAATGGCAGCTGAGGAGCTTTCTGAAGAGGTGGGAGAGTATCAACAATCAGTGCAACAAAGTTCTTCTAAAATAAAGGAAACCCTGAAAAAATGGACAGAGCTACAATCATTTGTAGAGAAGACCCACCCAGACAGAGAAAAAGCCAATCACTGCATTTACTTGCTTAATGACAATGTTAACAGAACAGTGTTAAAGAAAAGACAGAAAGAGACAGACTTAGACCAATTTTTAGTTCTGAAAAGGTTGAGAGCTAGTGAGCCAGAAGCAGGTCCTGGTGGGCTACAGACTTGCAAGGAAAGAAAGTGCACCAGAAGGCCAGATCCTGATGTTCTTATGGAAGGGGACTCCCTTTCCAAACAATAACCACCTTCCATTTCATCCTCCCTTCCTGCCAGCCAAAGATGTCAACCTGAGTGGTGAGTACAGTATGAAATTCTTGGTAAACTAGGCACATTTTAAAACGTTTTGGTGAATACACTAGGAAAATTATTGGTGTTTCTGATAAATTATGCATATTATACAAGTCATTTTATTATGAAAAGGTTTAGGGGTGCTTTGGGAGGCTCAGAATGCATTACGGGTATTTCTATTATTTGTTATGGGAAAAAGTCTTGACTTTCAACCAACCTGAGTTACAACCAGCCCTCGTGAAGGAACTGAGTTTGTGAGTCAAGGGTCCACTGTACATGTACTCTATTATAGTTCAAAGCTAAGCTAAATTTAAACATACTTCTTTGAATCATTTCTGAAACGTTTCATAAAATTCAATCTCTTTTTAGTAAAAGTAAACAAAATAGGTAATTAAGTAGATTATTATTTCTAAACTATGAGTACATTTTAATGAATATATGCCTTCTTATTTTTGATTGCATATAGTGTTTTAAAAGGAAAGCAAAACATACAGCCAAAAATAAAACAATAACAAATATGCAAAAACATTTTATTTATAATAGATCAACATTTTTGACATGAAAGGTAGCCACTTTCAGTTTCTCAGGAATGCCTAGAATACAACAGTTTCCGGAAAGACTAGTCAACAATTCTTTCACTGTAGGTAAAAAGAAATAACTTCAGAATGAATTTTTTAAATGGCTTTGCCTATAGCAAATTATTTTGTAAGCTTGAATGTATGGCAAGCTAGCTTTCCCAGGAAGTGAGTGTAATCCAACTGTGTTCCAAGTGTATTAAATCAGCCTATACAACAAATATGAGAATCACCTATGTGCATCAATTGTGCTGAAACAAGAATTATCTTTATCAAAATATTCATTTTTCAAAAAGGCCTCACATTTAACCCCTCAAACCAATATCCATTTTGTATGTCCTCCTCTCTTCTACTTCAGGTTTTATTACTGTATAGATGACCATCAAATCCCAATGCAGTAATTTAACACTATGTAAAATATACCAAACACAATAGTTACTGACTTTAAGGGACAAAATGATAACCAACCAAATATATAGCCAATATTATTTTTTGTTTAGAGGGAAAAAAAAGCAGCCCCTAAATGTGCTTAACTTTTCAGTACTTCTCTGTAACACAATATGAAAAGCTAACTTGTAAAGTTAAAATAATCAGGAAACATCTTGTGTGAAACATTTTACATGGACAAGTGATACATTCTGGATTCAAACCATACTATCTTCTGTATTTCAACTTGGGAGAAAATTCACAATTATTACCTCTTGTCAGTTACATTTATTTTTGAGCATTTAAATCTACTATACACTCTGTAAAATTCACCTTGGTTACTACTCCCCATGGTTAAACACTATCTTTTCTCAGGAAAGTCCATTATATGCATTTAAGTCCTGGGGAGGTTTAAATAGCACTTAAAATATATTAATGAGAGTTCTGAAATGTTGCAAGTTTCATCACCTATTTACTGTAGGATTGGTAATTCAAATTCATCACAGCAGCCTAAAGAAATACCGTGTGAATGGAATGCACATAATTCCTACAGAATACACAAACTGAAGTCCAAAAGGCACAGAGTAATGCTGGTGGCTCTTTCTAGTCAGTTAAGAAACAATAAAAAGTTTGCATTATTCTTTCATAATTTAAATACTTAAGTAATCTCCACTTTTATTACTTTATAACAATGACATCAAATTTACATTATTTTAAGTACCATTGTAATAGCTTAGAGTATAATACAGATATCTGTTATTTATCCCATCCAAAAATAAAACAAAAAAGCAAATAAACAAAACCTTCTTCACTATATATATATATTTATATATAAAAAATTATTCCCAAAGATAACATAGAAGAGGGACTTAGTACAGGCCATCAAATTAATTTTCTATTACCACAGTTATATTTCCAAAATCAACAGATACACAGCAATAATCAAAAGCAGTGCAAATATCTTTGGAGGTTAGGATAAAATTATAACAGAAGAACAAAAAACTGAGGAAATAAAAAAGGCAAGTACTTCAAGTACAAGGAACCAGTCTGCTGAGGTCCATCTTAGTGTTTACTGGGGGCTGCCTTCCCACTTCTACTTCTTTCTCTGAAACACATTGGCCAACATGGCACCTGAGGTTGTCAGCTGGCCCATTTTGTTCAAAAACTTGGTCTTTGTATCTTCACTCACTAAGCTTGCAGCAATTGACATTGAGCTAGGAAAAAAATTTTTAAATTCATGTGAAACAATTATAAAACAGTATCTATTTTTTATTTCTTTAGTAACATAATATATTCTCAATGGGCATTATCAAAGGAAAATTAATGCATATAAAGAGTTTTCATGTACTGTAATAGGTTAGGAGCAGTCACTGTTCATTCTTTATATTAAAGGAGTACTATGTTCATCATTTATATTAAAGAAAGCAGTAGTAGTTAGAACCTAATCTGGGATGGGACTAAATCTCAGCTGTTTATTAGCTGTGTGACCATGAGTAAATTCTTTCATCTGTAAAATGAAGCAGTTCAAAAAAAAAAAAAAAAAAAAAAAGGGTGTGGTGGCACACGCCTGTGATCCCAGCACTTGGGAGGCTGAGGCAGGAGGATCATGGTGAGTTCAAGGCCAGCCCGGGCTACAAAGTAAAAAAAAAAAAAAATCTGGGTGTGCTGGCACACGTCTGTAATCCCAACACTCTGGAGCTGGCGGGGAAAAAGATTACCTCATGCTCAAAGCCAGCCTGGGCTGCATAATGAGTTTAGGGCCCACTTGAACTACATAGTGAAACACTGTCTCAAAAGAACAACAAAAGGAGTGCTTCTTTGATTAGTTTCAAAATCCACAGATAGGCTGGGCATGGTGCTTCTTCTCAAGACCTATTAAAATTACACAAGTGTAAAGCGCTTAGTACACCGCTAGACACATAACAGCATGCTACTAGTGTATTGTTCTTTTAATGACCTCACTTAGTTTTTACCGCAATTCTGGGACATATGAAGTATGATAAAAAAATACAGCCAGTGTTTAAATGAAAAAGAAATTACTACAGTAAAAGACTTATTGCCATTAGTTCCCCTCACTCCTCACTTCGAACATACATATCCCATCATTCTTGCCAATTTCTACAGCAGTTCTGAAAGTCCTCTTTCATGAGTGTCTTTAGTTGACTGTTATGGCTACCCTGATGTCCTGAATAGGTTGGAAACATTTACCTTTCATAGTATTTTGACTTTGGGGAAAAGCCAGAAGTGGCACAGTGCCAGATTTGGTGACATAAGGTATATAAGGACACAATGTAATGTTTTCCTGAGCCTGCCTTTTTGTTGGATGGCACTTGGCAGCAGCATTCACTGTATTTTGATCATATTTCATAAAGACACTCACTTCTGGTCCACTTCAGAAAACGGCAGGAAGGATGGGATAACTGTACTTGAATGAGAGGGAGTATCTGGAGGGGGATAAATGGCAATGTGTGTTCCGCTATAATAATTTAAAAAAGGGGGGCTGGGGATTTAGCTCAGCGGCACAGTGCCTGCCTGGCAAGCGCGAGGTCATGAGTCCTCGGTACTGGAAAAAAAAAAAAAAAAAAAAAGATTCGATTCCTGGTATCGGAAAAACAAACAAACAAAAAACAAACAACAATAATTAAAAAAAAAAATTCGCTGTATTTTTTGATCAAACCACAGATATTAACAGCTTCCCAAATGAGTCAAGCAAATCACAGTGAATCTGCACTGTGCTAATAATAATCCTATTCCTTGAAAAACATCTTAAATCGCCAGTTTTCAAATTCATTAATTCTTTCTTTTTTGCCAAACTGCTGTGTAGGGAGTAAACACAATCTAAATGAACACTGAAGATTATTGATTTATCACATTACCATCCAGAAAGAGTATTGCAATACACTCAGAATCCCAGTTTGTTGTCTTGTGGCTTTGGTTGAGATACACTTGACCTTTCAAATTCAGTTTCCTCATCTGTAAAACACAGCTTCCAATTTCTATTGCAAAACATCCCAAGATTTAAATAAGATAATGTGTTTGAACTTGGCAAGGGCAACGTGTGGCAAGCTGGAGGCGCTCTGCTGGACCTATAGCACGAAGCAGGTGCCACTACCAAAGGTATCTGGGTGCGTGTTGTCTTTTATGGTGTGTACTACCAAATTATTCCATTGAAAACCCAATCACAACCCCCTGCCCCACTAAAGTCCCTTCTTCCAGTACACTAATACGGTTTCTCTCTTTATGCCTTTGAAGAACTTCTCCTCCTCTCTCTTTTTCCCTCTCTTCTCACAAAGTAATACAAGGTTCAGCATTTGGCTTTTGATTCTCCAATTATAAAACTTTCTCTCAAAGCTTCAATTATGGATGACTCCAAAATATTAACTAAGTCACAAATATAGTAACCTCTCCATAGCATACTCCAGGTTGAAAATCTTCAGTGTTCATTTAATACCTAGAACATAAAATAATGTTCTTTTGTATTCAAGAAATACCGATCTAATGTGTGTGTGTTTTATACTATTACCACTTATCTCTTACATTCCTCAGCTTTCATTCAGGTCTGCCTATTCTATTGCCCAATCAGTTTCAAACTAAATCTCTTTCTTTCCACTGCCTACCCCTCTCTCAAACTTCGGTTCAAGTCCAGTCTTTCTAGTGGGTCTTTTCTTAAACTTTGAGATTTATAAATGTTCTCTTTCTGTAAGAAATTCAGTGTAAGTCAAAAAAGATAAATTTGATTTTAATTTACACTAGGAAAAGAGGTTGTATGGATCAGATCATACCTAAGAATACTATTAAGTTTTAATGATATTCTATAAGTGGTACAACAATGATATAAAGGAGCCTGGAAACTCTAAGGGGTAAAACTGAAAGGAATGAAGAATGTTTGGCTTGGAGGAAAGATTTAGGTGACTTAACAGATACCCTCAAAATTTAAAAAAAAACATACAAATCATCTGCAGGCTCAATATAACCTGAAAGGACCACTGATACACATCGCGATCACCTGGGCAGCTTTTCTGAAATGTAGGCACTAATATCTAATCCTAGTGCTTCTGAGACTTTCCATCTGGGTACATATATTTTATATAGCTTTCTAGTAAGCTATATAAGCACATATTTTATACAGCTTTCTAGTAAAGAATCATTGCATTACAGCAAGTTTTTATAAAACAGTGTAAATTTTTGTTAGTTTTACAAAGGGGTCTGTAATAATCATCAGTGTGTATACCACTGAATCATTGCATCTTAAAACGCTGGTCTGCAATTTCATGTCTGGCTACTTTCTCATCCCTATCAGAGCCCCTTCGCTAACCCTAATCCTTTAATTACCACTTATATGCTAATGTTCTCTAAATCGCTATGTTTTCTGGCTGTTCTACAAATTATAAATATTCCTCTTCAGGACAGTCCATCCTATAGTTCTCTTTTGCTGTGCCATCAACCATTTAAGTGTTAAAACCAAGGTCTGGGAGCCTTAGATTCTGTTTTCCTTCACTCTTAATCTGTCGCCAAACTGAGTTCACATCTAAAATATATCTCCAATCCATCTTTTTATATTCACTGTCATACCCAGACATTATAACACAACAGTTAAGAGAACAGTATCTACTTTGTAGGGTCATTAAGGAAGTTATTTGCAAGTATGTGAAAAATGCTCAGAAGGGTATCTGGTTCATAAGTGTTTAAGTAATAATAATGGTGCTTATTCCCTGCCCGTCTATGCTCACACCGGATCTAATCATGGACCCCATAATAGCTTTCAATCTATTCCACTTGATTCTGTATACTAAGAGAGAAGAGTTTGGCTTCTAAAAAGCAGTGTTTCTCAAAGTGTAGTTCCTGCACTTGCATCAGCATCACTTGGGAACTTGTTATCAATGTGAATTCTCAAAATTTACCCCAGATCTTCTGATTTAAAATCTGGGGGGATGGTAACCAGTAATTTCTAGGTGACTGTGATGGACCATAAAAACTTGAGAACCAAAGTTCCCAAGGGTTGGAAACTACAGGTGGCAGGCCAAGTCTAGACTGCTGCCTGTGTTTCTAAGTTTTACTGAAACACAGACATGCTGATTAACTTACTATCAATGGTTGTTTTCCTGTTACAACAGAAGAGTCTAGATGAGAAGTTGTGACACAGTTCTTACAGTTTTCAAAGCTTACAATAGTATTTATTGTCTACAGAAGAAGTTTGCCAACTCCTCCCTAAAGGATACATCCAGCCCTCTAAGTGTGACTAACAAAGTTCTGTGGCTACTCACTTTTATACACTTCTGCTATTCTCTCACACACAGTATGTACTCTAGCTTTTCTCTAACTTTTGTCACTATGTATAGTGCTGATTTTTTTGCATATAATCACCAACTTTTTTCCCTTTTTGCCTCTAGCCTACTGTTCACACCTGAAGATTCCTGGGAAATCTGCAAGCACTCTCTTAATGTTTATTTTTTTGCTTTTATTTCTACTTGTAACTGACTTACCCCTCAGCTATGATTACCCTGTGGAAAAGGAAAGGACTATGCCTTATTTAAGCTCATTTTTGTGAACAGCCCATGGTAGGTGTTCAGTGAATTGTACTAAATGCTAAATGAACAGAACAAACATTTATGTATGCATTTTCTGTTTGCAGATCAGTGCATTTCAAACTTTTTTTGGACAAAGATCTCAGTAAGAGATACATTTAAAATAACTACAACACATACAAGTACCCGAACTATCATACAGAAACTTTTACTACTTGGGATGTTCTCTCTAGTTTTTGTTTTATTATATTTCTTGGGATAACATTTTTATCACAATAAATTGAATTAATTAATTTGTGGTACTTGGGATTAAAACTGGGGTCTTCGCATTGAGCTACGTCCCCAGCCCCTTTTAAAAAAACTTTTATTTTGAGACAGGGTCTTGCTAAGTTACCCAACATGGGCTTGAACTTGTGATCGTCCTGCCTTGGCCTCCTAGGGAGGCAGGAGACAAGGGTATACCATGACTTCTTGCTTTGTTTTTTATTTAGAGACAGGATCTTGCTAGGTTGCTGAATTGCCCAGGCTAGGCTTGATTTTGTGATCTACTTACCTCAGTCTCTCAGAGTGCTGAGATTACAGGTGTGCCTGACTCCAACTGAATTAATTTAATTATGTACTAAGGGCTATAGCAATTAGCAGAGCATTTCAGAAATATAAGTATCCTTCCTTATCTGCCTTTAATCTCACTTTTCCTTCTTAGAAGTAGTTCCCTTTACTGTTGCAGGCTGTCTTCCTGTGCTTTTGATTCATGACAGACTTGCCAGTAGCTTAAGGAAGGCTTCCTTGAAATGGTGACTTTTAAGCTTTCGCCTGAGGATGAAGGAAGCAACTAGACAAAATAAGATGGAACCCTATCTTGTAAAGACCTAGGGGAAAAGAATTCTATAGCCAAGGATCCTAAGGGCCTCCATTCAGCCTCTCTTGGCTATCCTTGGTAGTTACAGCAGCCTCATATTTACATAACCAGTATAATTTCCACATGGGATTTATTATATCACCTATAACAGGTGGCAAAATGCCATTTCCATATCTTTTCTAGTTTTACTCTAAGTTATTGGAAGGCAAAGGTATCTTACTTATTTTTACTCATTTATTTATTTATTTATTTTTGGGGGTTTTTCTCCGGTACCGGGAACCGAACTCACGACCTTGCGCTTGCCAGGCAGGCACTTTGCCGGTGAGCTAAATCCCCAGCCCCTTTACTCATTTATTTTTAATCCCGAGCACAGTGCCCAAAATGAAGACACTCTTGAAGGTGGAAAATGTAATCAAATTTCCTCTGATTCCTGCCACACACACTTTCTGTATCTTTTATTTGGTATCTGTAAGTCTCTAATCTGTTAAAGTCCTATAAATGCTTTGACTGTCTATAAGAGTGAGCATCTACTTCATCAGTGTATCTGCTGACTGATAATACAGTCGAAGTTTTCACACGTATGCTTTCAAAACAGAAATATGGATATAATACTATAGCATTCTCTCCAGTCTTCTAGATTAAAAATAATCCATGTTGAGCATAATAAATCTTACAGATAAGATGTTTTAATAACTAGGAACAACTTATACATAAAAGTATAACAGTCCAGCTCTCTTGCCCTTACTCTTCAAAAGCATGTTTACGATACTGTCACACAGATTGTAAGGCAAAATCATGTCAAAAAGACTTAGGAGTCAACTTGAAGATTCAAATTGCCTACAGACAGGATAACTTGGGCATTAACAGGCATTATAAATGCAGCACAATGAATTATATAAAATAAACTTGAACACATAAGTTTGTAAATTTTCAAAATAAAATAAAATCTGTATCTCTGTGGTTGTTCACCTATCAGTGGGTGAATCAATTTATTATTCTGAAAACTGGCAAATACAAATGAAGAGCTGAATGTCTTGCCTTTACCAAATAAACTATACTACTGAGTATTATGTAGCTTAGGAGGTAAGCTTTTCTTTACTGAAGTATTTTAGGTCACCAATGACACAGGGATGATACAATTAGGGTATTATATTCTATAACCTCTAATGAATTAATAAATTCATTACTTATCAACAGCTTGTTAAGATCCCCCCAAAGTAGAGAAGCAGACATCAGCTTTAGGATGAAAACACACTTCCTCTTATGAATCAGTCTTGCTAAAAGAAACATGTCTGTATGTGATTAAGTCTCTAGATCAAGATCTAACTACCCAATTGACAGGAAATACACAGTTCATATTAAACAACAAAGGGAAGTACAGTCAGCAAAGTTAGAACTGTGAAAAACTCTACAGGCCAAATGAACAAATTTCTTCCAAAAGTAACATGGAGAAAAAAAGTTGAGGGAAATTTCTATGGAGTTTCCTCAATTTTCAAAATTCTTATTTTCAGTAAAATAATCTGAAGGCTCCAGATAATTTTGATATTTAATGTATGACAAATGAGTAGAAATATTTGCTTTGGTGTTGATTTTACGGGTTCTGTGTTTAAATCAAAAGCCTTTTATTATTTGAATGAGTTTCTACTGTTTTATCTTTCCATGGCTGAAATGGCAGGTACAAGTATATAGGGAGAAGAACTTCTACCCTAGGAAGCTAAAAAAGGGTTATAATAAATTAAAGAGATTCTGTGTCTTAGGCTCTGTGTTTATGTACCTAGACTGATTGGACAAAATGCATTCCTGGTAGTTAGGCTTAAAGGAAATACTTCTGAGCTTTTTATGTGTGAGTCCATTTAAAATAACTGTTCAAAGTTATTACAATAAGAAGCAAAGAACATAATCCATTTGTAAATTATTTCCTTTCCTGAATGACCAACATTTCTCTTTCACATCTATGTCCATATTTTAATTTCAATGAATCTTTCAACTTTAATCAGCTTGGTCAGAAACACTGCTTTGGCCAGAATGTTCCCAAATTTACAATCCTTCATGTAGCAAATTATTATATCTTACAACTATGTCACAAATTTCTACTCTTTTGACGATGAGTCTCCAATGCACTACAAATCAGAAACTCTTTGGAGGCTTTTTAAACATGAAGACTCTAGGGTGAATCAGAATGTTGAGAGGAGTCTATAAAACATAGCGTAGAGATGTGAATTTTAAACTTCTCAGATACTTTTGATGAGACAGCTTGTGGATCAGCATTTGAAAATAGCTAACTCGAATAACAGTCTTTTTTCCTCAATTTTTATTTTTTATACTTTTATTTTAATGTACTACAAGTAGATATTAAGAAAATATAAGCACACCTTAGAAAAAAATAAAATTTCATAAAAAAATAATTACAGAATGTTAGTTAATATACTATGTACTATGTTCTGAAAAGAATGGTCAAAATGTTTCACAAGTCATGGACCAAAAAAATAATTCTCTTTTAAAAGAAGAATGTTTACAGTACATAATGATTACATTCCTGTGGGGAGCTGGTGCATGTAAATAATATCTTAAATCTTTTTTTCATCCTCCTTCCCCGCCCCCGAATAAGTCATGTCCTCAAAATAAATTACTACAGAGTTATACAAAATGAAACATACCTACCAATAGCAAATTTAGATAGAAAATTAAGGTTAATATAAAGCCTTAAAAAAGAATTAATGTCTTACCCTTGAGGCTCCTGGACAGTCTTGTTTTCTACTTTTTGTTCACATTCTTTTATCATGGAACTTAAAATAACCTGATTAAAAAATTATTTTAATGAAATACAGTTTAATAAAATACTATGGCTTAATCTAAAATTTTAACTTTAACACTCCCATAAACTAATATGTTAATTAAAAACAAAGTTTTGACACTTTGTTGATTATGTTGGTATACTGCTACAGAAACAGTTTTAAAAGATCTCAATTTTGGGCTTTGGGATATAGTTCAGCTGTAGAATGTGTGCTTAGCATGCATGAGGCTATGGGTTCAGTGTCCAGTAAACCCCAAATCTCAATCATATAACTTAAGAATTTATTTTTATTTTCATTAGCTTTATTTCTAAATCTGATTCCCATTCTCCATTAGCTTTTCCCACCATTTAATGTTAAAAGAAAAACTTATATTCATCTATACGTTTAACATTCCCATATACTGTGGTCACATATGTATTTTCTAGTAAAAGCCATTCTACTCTATGTTCCTTTGCTTTCTCCAGGTTGTAACAATTGGTGATGGGATCAGTATCTAAGACTATAACACTTAACACCATCCTTGCAGGGAGACTGAGTGACTGATGTAAAAGGTGGGGATCTAATCCACTTATCTAGCAGTTGAGAACCACACCAGAAACTGAACAACCCTCCTGAATATTCTTGGCCCATGTTTTGACCATGGAGGTCACTAAAAAAATATTTATTGTTTATCTGCTATTTGCTAGGCACTATTTTTAAATACTAAAGATAGAGATGCTAAAACACAAAACATCCTCTCTTTGTGGAGCTTTTGTTTTTTTGTTTTTTTGTTTTTTTTTTTGCAAGAAAGAGAAACTTGAAGGGTATGGAATGTTTTAGCCCTGGGAAGAAGTGAATAGGTAATCTGATGTGAGAGCGAGAAGGCTCAAAAGGTGGTACAGACAACTGGGAAGACAAAGATATCTGGAGAGGGATGAAGGAAAGTTTTTGTTTCATTCAGGAGAGAAAAGTCAAATATTGTAATGGGAAAGGCTGACAAAAATAGTTTGAAAATATGGAATAGGAAACAGATGACAAAAAAGGAGGTAGAATGGAATGAGTTATGAAGGATGATGAAAGAAAATAGATACTTTGCTTTTAAGAAAGTTAATGAGAGATAACATTTGACAGTTCAACATTTCACTTACATTATCTTATTAAATTCTCATTTGAAGGAGACTGTGTTATCTCTAGAGAATTAAACAGAGCCTCAAAGATGTTCTACATATTAAAACTAGTAAGTTGATAAAATGACATTTACTGACATTTTTAAAAAATGAAGTACTGAATATCATAATCAAGTGTCATATAAAGAACAAAAATCTACACAGGAGATATAAAATAATGGCACTGATAATCACAGTAGCTCACCTCATGCCCTGGAGAGAGATGTTCCATGTCAGTCCGCAAACATCTGAGGCCAGGTAAAAAGTGATTTACCATTAAATCTTCTGAAATGACTTGAGACATGGTATTAAGGAAGCTTTAAAAAACCAACTGGTAAGTCCAACGGAGTTTAAATATAAAGAAAAAGCCCTCTATGGTATACTGATCATCCAGAGTAAAAAGGCTTCAAGTAAGTTATTTATTAAGAGTCAACTGTGTCTATTATCAAAAATCTATTTTATGTCAGTGATATTTATCACTGCAACGTCCCCTAATTTAATCATATGCTAATCTAATCAGGCATTTGAATGAATATGAAGTATGGAAAATAAAAAAAAAATTTCCATGACAACTAAGTTTAAAGTTTTGTTAAAAAGCCAATAAAGGCCGATTGGTTAATGTACTACTATTTAATTACTATGTATAAGGCAACTGTAAAAGGTTGGGAAAAATATAAAGACATTTGGCAAAATTCTATACTCAGTACCAGAAATGTTTCTGGATTCTTTTTAAAGAAAGTTAATCTGAAAATCATAGACAAGTGCATTATGGATGTGAGCTGTCTGAAAAAGAAGATGTTTAACTAGAGCCAGCAGATTCACATCAAAGACATGCCTCAGTCCTAAACTAAATGTCTGATAAAAGAAAACACATTTATATATTTTAAGTTAAAGTAGTTATCTAAGGTATATTTTGTTTTCTTGGTTTTTTTTTTTTTTTAATTACCCTGTTAAACTGACTTCCTACTGGTCCTGACTGAATTGGATCAACATAGCATTGGTTGTAATAAAAGTATTTATTAAGTGTAGTATTACTTATAGTTCCTGCTTATCTTTGCATTTTAGCTGATCATCTTGACATCCAAAAGGATGGCAGATACATTTCTCAAGGAAAGATTCAACTTGTTTATTCATACCTATTCTGGAAGATTCTCACCTTATTCATTTAAAAAGTTGAATTGACTATTTAAAAATAGTCATTTAAAATATATATTTAACATTATATCATATAAAGTGAAAAATTCTACTAAATTCATTTCCTTTAAAGATGGTTTAATTAACCTTTATGAAAAAAATTATAACTTCATAAAGATAGTGTAATATATGATGAGTACGTCCTTGAAAAAAGTTTTGTTTTGTTTAAAATTTTTTTTTGAAAAAAGTTTTAAATGAAAACTTCTTCAAGAAAGCTCCTATAATAAGTGACTTATAAACATAAGAGGAAATAAAAATAAACAAAGAGGGCCACAATCTTATGATTATATAGTCTTGTTTTCTAGATATGGGGAAAGTACCGCTAAGATACAAATGTGAGTGACCTTTGGTTTAACAGAGAATGTGACCTACGGATTGAGAAGTTGAAGATACCTTTTTTTTTTTGAAAAAGAAGAGGGACGTTCTCTCTTTCTGCTTCAAGTTGGAACCTACCATCTCCCCATGGAATCACAGAAATGTACAGCTTATTTGGTCCTAGTTGATATTAGAAGTTGCTTCTAACTTATTAGTGAATGATTACCAAAAAGCCTCTGATTACTAATATGAGATATTCATAGTTTTGGAAGAGTGCTCACTGCATTTTTAGGTAGTCTGATTACAAGTATGTTTTCCTTATAAACAAAATTGCCCTTTTTAAGACCTCAGCTTGCACCTTAGTGCCTAACCTTCCTTCTAAGGAATCACCTGTCAAATAACTGTGAAATTATCTTTTCATCCCAAGCTATCCATTCTCCAGATTAAGAATTTCTAAATTCCTTCAATCTGTCTTAAACATGACTTCTTATGCCATTTTAATGTTACACATTCCAATTTTTCTATGTCTCTATTAAAATATGACATTAGTTATGAAAGGAATACTCATGTTCTGATCAGCTCAGAATATGAAGGGACAGGTTTGGGCAATGTGATTTTATCAGTGACCACACTACTCTGTTGAATCAGTACAAGTTCTGCCTCACAAAGAACTAACACATTTAGTACGCGAACAGGGACTGCTCTTAAGATGGTGCTTTCATTTGCTGTATTGGTAAAAGACATTTATTGTATTTATTCGAGAAATAGTTCACACATTTTCGGATAGATGGTAATATTTTCCAGTATCTACACTCCTCAGAAACAGCTGCCTTTTCCACTTCTAATATTTGATTTTCTGGAGCTAAAAGATTTGATATTATGACTTTTCCCTTTTCCTTGAGGTATATTCCCTTACAAATTATACATGGCCTATGGTTAAGTTTTTAACATGTTTCAGAGAGTCTAATAAACATACCAATCTTTTCTTTCTTTGAGATACAACTCCGCATGCTATTATTATTGTCTTGCAAGGGTACTGTCACATCTCTATTATTAAAGTATTTCTTCCTTGCTCATTCAGAGTATCAGTTTCCTTTTCTTTCTTCCTCGATCTTCTGTTAAGTTGAAAAGTCAGCAAGATAAGTCAGGAATGATAATAGTAAATTCTCCCTTTAGTGGAATTAAACCTATTGAAGACATGAGTACTTGAGGTACCAAACTATGAAAATATGGTGGCTCTACTCACTATATAATCTGTTACAAAAATATGGTCATATCATTCTATATGATTAGGTCAATGGTAGCAGATTCCCAAAATAAAATGCACTCAACAATGCACCCATTAACGTTTCAAAAGGAACATGCAGTTCCTTAACAGATGGCTTTACTTTTCTACTCTTCCTATTTACTTTATTATGAACAAAGTACAATAACCTGTTGTTATACACCAGTCAGTCCAAAGTCCAGTGGCAGCCAGTCTCAATGGAACTTTAGAACAGATTTATCTTATTTAAAATTGCTTGCTCAAATCTTATTTATGACTATGAACTAGCGTATACAGTATAGAATCATTAATAATCCCCCAACTCTTTCTTGGTTCTCTTTTTTCCCATGTATTACTAGGAAGCTTTACCATCATTTTTTTCTGCCATAATCATATTTCTCTGATTATATATAGCCTAGCATGTACTTTTATAGTTGTTTGACTATTGAGCCTTTCATTCTTTTCTCAATCTCTTATTTCCTCTTTTCTGAACTCTTCTGCCTTTTAATAAGAGCACAGAAACTGGCATTCACTTTGCCCATGTGCACTTCCTTCCTGGCTTGCAAAGCATAGTAAAAGAACTTTTTACAGGATGGCTAAAGTTCTTTGTTCCGGTCACAGTTTTGCTTTAACTATGAAAAGCAGAAGTCACTAGTGCCTTTAAGCCTTGGTTTAATCATTTACAATACAGTGGTCTATAAGGGCCCACATGATCTCTTGAGTTCCTTCCCAGTTCTGTATTCACTGGAGATGATTAGCAATATTGGCACTGTACTTTTCTAAGGAGTGACACCTCACTACGAGAAATTGATAGCATTCCACTGGCTACTGATAGTTAAACTTCACTGAGAAATTAAAATGCCAAGATATATATAAAGTTTCCTTTTGATTAGCAGAAGTCTTAGCTATAATTCATTCTGTTCTTTATTTCTTCCAATATAATAAGACATAAAACATCAGGTCATTGTCTTTGAAACCACAGAATACATAAACAGAAAATTAAAAATGTTTTAAGATTATGAGATAGCTAAAATAAGTAAGACAAATCAAATCAAAATTTCAGTTTTCTATAATACTTATATAATTTAAGAAAAAAAGTTCTCAGTCTTTCACAAATCAGCTTCATTATAGAACTGGTTACATAAAGGCAGGTACACTTTAAAACAAGGATACAACAACAGGAAAGTGCACTGTAGGCTTCAAAAAGATGGGTAGCAATGTCCAGTCTTTTAGAATCCACAATTTGTAAGTTGTTCACCAAAGCTAACTTATGCAAATGTGGTATAACAACTGAAAAAGGAAAAAGAAATTGTTAAATTTTTACCTCAAACATACATACAAACTCTTATACTTTATAAAAAATGGTTTTAATATATAAAAGTTCATTTTAATGCTGCGTACTTTCAAAAGGCTGCCCACATTCTATGTTTGCCTTTTCCTACTAGAAAAGAAAGTATGAGAAACAGTTTATATAGCACTGTCCCTATTAACTAATTATGAGGTTGTCTACAGGTCATTTGGCTTCACTCTTAATTTATAAATATCAAAAATGTAAAAGAAATATAAACAACCTAGATCTTGTGTTATCTGTGCTTACAAAATGTTCTTTATAAAAATTACCAACATATTAAATAAAAGATAAATGCAATACTTATTCTTTCCTTCAATAATAAATTATTTCACTCCTTCATAAAACTATTATTACCTTTGGTTTATCAAATTATTAGCAAAGACCAGTATCAAATAGCACTGGTGGCTAAATCTGCAAATCACCCAAATGGGTTTAATATCTTCAAAGAACAATGTAAAAATTCAAAAATACTGCCTGCTGTGATAAAAGCAATGGTCTAAGAACAATACACAATGCAGTAGCAATGAGCATCCATTGTACCTAAGATTGTGTTATTTGTATACCATTTCTCAGTAAAACTGGGATTCTTTGGAGAAATGGCTTTGGAGTCAGTAACTGTTAAAATGGTGTCTTACACAGCCCTTTTCTAGTCTCTTCTTGGTTAGGGAATACAAAATACCATTCATAAGCACAGACTGCTGACCAACTATAGTGACTTCCTCTTGTTTGCAATGAGCCTGTGTATGTAAATGCAAGTCTTCCCCTGAAAAAACTTCTGCTTCCTGAAGAGACCAAGGGTATAATCACAACTTTCTTGCTTAGCTTAGTAAATGGCAAAACAAAACAAACTTTATAAAAACTTAGAATTGAAATGGGTATTTAAAAAAAAAATCTTTTTTTTGTCTTTTTGAGATGGGCCCACTATACAGTTTAGGCTGGCCTTGAGCTCACTTTGTAGTCCAGGCTGGTCTTGAACTCACGGTGATCCTCCTGTCCCAGCCTCCCGAGTACTGGGATTACAGGTGTGCGCCACTATGCCCAGCCTAAAATGAGCATTTTTAAGGCCTTTTTCAACTTGTTAAAATGAGTAATAGTATTATTAAGATGAGCTCTAAAAAAAGTTAGGAGATAAAAACTCCAAACATTCAGTTGTTAGCTTTACCAATTGGTCTACTGAGGCCTCACCAAAATAAATAATGATTTTAATTTCTTAGTTGAATCTTAGTTTCTCCCACCAAAGACTCTATAGTGATTTCTTCTGAAACCTTCTGCAACTTACCTTCCCTATACTTCATCTACTTATGCATGGTCCATGTTTTCCTTTTGCTTCTAACTTTTTTAACTTTGTTTAGTTTCTCTCAGGAATGGAACAATAATACTGTACAACACCCCTTAGAACTGCCTCACTAGAAGACAAATCTACAGAATTTAGTTTAAAACTCTAGTCTAGGGTTAAAGGGCTTTCCTAATTCTCAAAAAGACACACATTTACTACAGAATCCAAGATTTCAGTATTTATATACTATGTTGGGCTGTACTTATATAATTAATTCATTTATTACCCATAAGATGGATTTAAATGGCTAAAAGCAGTAAGACATTAAAGACCAGAAGGCTTAATAAACCTGGTGGGAATAATTTTGAAAATGACCTTTAGTAGGAAAGAAAAATAGGAAATAAGCACTATTAAGACCACTGCAGGAGCTTTTTTTCTTTTTTTTAATGGCAAACTGGAGAGACATAAAGTTGCAAACAAAATAAAGACCAGCCAATAGATGGATTTATTTTACTGATTGTTTTTTTCCAATCGATTGTTTTTTCCTTGAGAAAGGGTCTCTGCTTCTAAGTTTCTGAAAATATTCTATGATAGATCCAAAAGCTAAAGTAAAGGAAATCTTGTTTTTTTGTTTTTTTTTTTTGGCAATATATACGGACCTGAAACAAGGAACTCAGATAAAACTAATCTGAAATGGAAAAGCCAACCCTTAAGAAAATGTTCGAGGTATGAACATTTTCAAAGTCTTATAAAATGAAGTAGTTGAAAAAAAAATGGTCCTTAAAATTAAGACCAAAAGTCCTGTGATAACTTAAGAATTAGGACAGAACATGGGCTAATGGAAAAACTAATATCTTCTATTAGTTAAGAAATAGAGGGATTTCTATAAACAGATAAATAAATAAGTACCCAAATGCTACTTCCCAAGGACAACACTAACACATTAAAATTTCTGTTCTTCCTCTAAACTCCCGAAGGGATCTATAAATAACATTCTTTCTGATAGGTATTTTGCTTTGCTACGATTTTTTCCTTCCTCCCTCCCTCCCTTCCTTCTTTCTTCCCTTCCTTCCTTCCCTCCTTCCTTTTGTCTCTCCCTCCCTCCCTCCCTTCTTAGTTTTTGTTTTCAGGACTCTTGCTAAGTTGTCCAGACAGGACTCCACTTGTAATCTTCCTGCCTCAGCCTCCCTCAGAGCTGGAATTATAAGGGTATGTCACCAGTGCTCTGCTTATCATTAATTTATTAATATAAAAAGCATTAAATTACTCAGGGTAAAGTTTTAAAGCAAAAAATTATTCATGTGACCCAGAAATAAGTTCAAAAGAAAAAAAGAAGGGGAGAGGAGTAATTAAAAAAAAAAAAGGTCTGGCTGTGCCAGAATGTTAAAGAAGACTATATCAGACATATCTGCTAGTATACAGTGAGTTGTAGGAGGCTTCAGGGATAATGGTTTGTAAGGTCTTTTTAAGCAGTAAGAGTTTCTACTCTAAATCTTTTCTTAAGCTCACTTTTAACGGTTATTTGGGGACCAGATTTAGCAAAAAAATTTTTTTCTGTTATGCAGTTCTATAAATTTAATAGGTAAAAGAATCCAGTCTACAAATAAAGCTGTTAAAAATAAAGTAGTATGGTTACTTTTAAAAGTTCGTGAACCTTCTAGAAAGAGACATAAAGATGCAGACAGTATGTTTGATTTGAGAAATTGTAGTCTTAGCATCACTGAAGACAAGATTCTAGAGACACATCAAAATACAGGCAGAAGAGCCTATAGGAATACAGATTGATTCTTCCTAGCTTATCCTAAATCTCTTTTGAATGTACATAAAAAATACTGAACATGATGGCACAAGTTGGGGCTGGGGATTTAGCTCAGTGGTTCAGCAGCACAGTGCCTGCCTGGCAAGCGCAACATCATGAGTTCGATTCCTGGTACCGGAAAAAAAAAAAAAAAAAAAATGATGGCACAAGTCACCCATTACAATCTGCTTATTTCTCAATCCAGGAGCCAAGAGTAACCTTCTTGGCCTCAGAATAACACCACCTCAGTGATGTCAAAGCATCTTCAGACCTACTAGGATTGTCTGTAAGATAACATGTGAGACTGTTTCTATTGCTAACTAAAAATACCAAACCTTTTCTACTGGTTGGCCAATTATGAAAATATCCAGTGAAAAAGAATCTTATTATTTGTGTTTCTATGGTTTGGTACTTACCCATGTCCTCAACAGGCCAACAGACCTTTTGAAGACTACAGTCCAAAAGTTGACTTAACATTTTTTGTTGATGACTCATCTTAAAAATGGTAAGACATAACTTAAGCTGGATATCCAATAATTAGTCTATTGGGGAGTCCAATTTTGTAGTAGAAACTAAACTGACTTAAGTGGTTGATGCAATGGGCTACTCTAAGGCATGTAAAACTGCTGACAATAAAATTGCTGAAGTATAGCAGTGATAACTGGTACACTTTTGGAGTAATAATTCCTGGATGTTTCAAAAAGGTAGAAACCCATAGTAAAAGAGACAAATTAGAGAGCTTGGGATGAAGCTTACTGGTATAGCACTTGCCTAGCATGCACTAGGTCTTAGGTTTAATCCCTAGCACCACAAAAGGAAAAAAGTAATTAGAGAAAAAGCTTTAAGATAATCATGTAGATCACTTAAGTGGTCCACAAGCTATGACTTAAAATAAAGTGGTGTATCATGCTGATGGCATGGTGAGTGGGAGAAATGTGTATTTCCTGTAAGAATATGTCTAGAAACACACAAAACTTTCCTAAAAAATAAAAAGCCCTCTAAATATAGCATCACAGTCTTTTACAATGAACAGGTAAGGTATGTTTCTACTATACCTTTATGCTTAGAGTTACTTGTCATATGTGATATAGCAACTAGTACACAGTATAGGAAACCATCCACTAAAAGCAACACTGATCACTTCACAAAAAAAATAACTTATTTTGAGTTTAGCTTTCAGTACACGAAAGAGAAAGTGCAGCAAGGCTTTAACACATGACAAATCCTCAGAGAAGCTTCTGGCTGTGATCTTACAATTCAAGATGAAAGTACAGAAATGCAACTTACATTCATCTCGGAACCTGGGTTCTGCATTAGGTCCAACTCTACCAAATGTTTTTATGATCTCCATATGCAAAGAATGCTGGTCTTGATACTGTGGATCTTCCAGGAAAGAAGCCAACTGCATTTTCACTCTTTCCAGCAACTTAACAGTGAATATTGTAGAGTCATTTTATAGAATATTAAAAACTGAGTAGTGCAGTTAAAGCAAAAGATACACATTAAACATTGCTTGCAGCAGGGTATTCAGACGATGTGTAACTCCATCATAGCAGAAATGTGGAATTAATGATGTACTCATTTATCTTTTAGCTCAGAAAAAGTTTCACATTTTTGTTTATGCTTGTTAATTCTTAATTTATTCTAAAAATACAAACATTCACTGATAAATTTTAAAAACAAAAGGAAAATACTCCATAATATTTAGGGAAAAGATCATTTTATGATGATTTTATATTTAACACATAATTCTTAACATAAATTACAGTGTAAGTTACCCAATTATTCACCTCCTGCAAGCAATGAGTCATTAATGAGTTATATCTTACTCACAGTTCCTTAAAAGACATTTTTATTTTAGGATTTAAGAACATGTTGAAATTCTGCCAAAACTGCAAGCATTGCAGAATGATATCCTTTTTTTCTGTTGCTTCATCCATGAAATATATTTTAAAAAAAGAAAGTCTTTCTATAACAGAATTTATAACGATTATAAAAATCTTTATGAAAGAAATTTTATCAAATTTTTTCTTTTTGAAGTAAAATGTCCACCAAATGGAGAAAATTGTTTTCCACTTAAGTGACCAGATAGTATGTCCATAAATAATTTATTTCCTAATATACAGGGTTTTTCATTTATGTAAGAAAGAACATGTTCAATATGATAACAAAACCCAAAAATTCTGATACTAATTTTGAAAAGTATTCTATAGTCAATGTTGCAAGCAGAGTTTTAAAAACTTGAAATCATTTTCAGAATTGAAAGACACTTTTAGGGAGGAAGACCTTGGTAGTTTTATGAAAGGAGGCACTGAGAAGTTTTGTACAGTGATATATACTATAACAAGATGACAGACAGTAGTACACCTGATGACTTTTAAGGCTTCAATAATATAGTAGTTAGAATACAGGTGCCGCCTTCCTTCACACATAACGCTGAGACAGATTTGTGTTCCTGATGTTATACAGCAAAACAGTCTTTAAATTTGTGCAAACTGGCAATCGAGAATTTATGCACACTGGCTAGAAGTCTATAGAAAAATGCAAGGTTTGGGAACTAGACTTGATTTGAAAGATTATTCGAAACTGCAGTACCTAGCTAGGCTTAAAACAAAACATCGAAGGGTTGGCCTATAATTAAGTTGAGAGGACTACAGCTATGGAATATGGAATAGCTCTGAGAATTATTCAGTCAGGCTATCCTGCTTTCAAATACTGAGACCCTCCCCTGGCCCTTACCAATGAAGAAACAACACGAAAGGTATGACTCTCCTTGCCCCTACCTTGAGGTATGTGTATGCTAATTTGTCATCAATCACTTTAACAGTAGATACAAATGTATTTTAATTATTTCCTACCTCTCTCTGAATAACTGTTTCCATAATAGTGCCAAAGGCTGGAATTGTGGCAATCCTGACAGAGCTGTTAGAAATTAAAAAAGAAAGAAACTGAACTTTAAGATTTAAAAAAATGTGCACTATTAAAATGTGTATCAAATTAAGTACAAGGTCAAAATACTATATTAGTCTCTAGCAATGACAAATTAAATTTTTAAAAAAGCAGACCAAGAAGAATGCTCAAAAAGACAGGCAGGGAACTTAAGGTCGCAGTCTATGAAACTCACAATTCAGGATCACTGGACAAGGTAACAAGGGCCGGAGCAACCCGCTTGTCAACTAACGCTTCACTCATGCCTCGAAGAGTCAGCTGTAAACCAGTCAACATGCAATAAAAAATGGTTTGGTAAACTGGAATGAGAACTGGGTTAGCTGTGACTGAGGATGGGCAGGACTCATTGGCCTTTCTTGGTTTAGTCACCCACACGAGACATTAAAATGTTATGCCTTTGGTTCATGCCACTACACTTACTGGGAACAACCTGTTAATAAGATTAGCAGAGCATCCTTTCTTGGCTTGGAAGAAATAGTCCATCAGCATGTTTTATGTTCTGATAAAGTTTGAGTACTAATATTCTTGGTCTCCTAATATTCTTTGGTCTAATACACTGCCTCCAAATTAGGCTTACTGTGAGGGTTGATTTAGAAAGCAACAAGAAGATATATAAATAGTAAGATGATAAAGCCTAAAATCAAGCATAAGCCAATATTATTATTTTAAAGTGATTCTTTAATGAATTTTAAAGCTGATGGTTATTTCCTGACAGGCACATTTTGAAAGGGATGCTGAATGTAAAAGGCAGGGATGACACTTACATTTCAGGGTCACTGGAGAGAGTAATGAGAGCAGGAACAACCCTCTGAGCTACCAGAGTTTCGTTCACCCCCTTCACCAACAGCTGATTGGTCAGCACAGGGGGTATTCACAGGTGATGCATGGAAAGAGCAAACAGTGTGCCACGGGAAGAAGAAAGGAACAACCACGAGAAAGAAAACACAAAAGCAAAACCAAAATTAGAAGCTAAGCAAATACTGCTACTAGAATGCTTTACAAAGGCAGAGGGTGCTTAGGAGGAAAATAAAGCTTAAATAGCCTAGGAGTCCACAAAAAGAGATGTTGTCACCAATTCAATGGCAGTTTGTACTTTTGGTCAAAATGTCTATGTAATTTCCATAGTCACTTAAAATGAAATATAAAAGAAAAATTTATTTCTTTAAAAAAGAAGAAGAGGATACATCTTTTGTATGGTTGAAATTCTCAAATTAAACTTGGTGTGATTTTATTATGATCAGTAAGGTACAAACTGTACTGTTTTTAAACCAAACTCAAAGGGCTAGTAGCCACCACTGAACTGCTTATGACTACTCTATAGCAAATAAATTAAAAATCACAGAGGAAAATTCCTAGCCTTTTAAATCCCATAGCTTTTTTTGAAGTACAGGGACACAATGCAGCAAAATACTCCTAGAGTGTAACACCTGGAAATCAGCTCTGGGTTCAGACTCCAGTTCTCTCCACTTATTTGTCTTAGAGTCTGAGATACAGTATATCGCATAATCTCTTGAAACTCAGTTTTCACATCTGAAAATGGTGATACTATCATGTAACTTAAAGCACTATTGTGCTATTAGTTTGTACATAATTTTCATACTGTGCACAATAAGGACTATGCATTCAAGAAGTGAGCAATTAATTATTGTGACTTTAAAAATATACATATATACACAGTATTTTGTAGAACTGAGGAGTGGACTCAGGACTTTTGCACTAAGTTACATCCCCAGCCCTTTTATTTTTATTATTTTATTTTTGAGACAGGGACTTACTAAGTTCCTAAATTGTTGCGGCTGGGCTGAATTCTGGATCCCTTGCCTCAGCCTCCCAAAGTGCTGGGATTACTGGTGTGTGCCACCACGCCCAGATAAAAGTATATGATCTCTGACATATTTGGAAAAGTAAATTGTTTAATTAAAAACTGTTGTAGTTAACCTCTAAACCACTTTATATTTCTCTAAAAAGTGCAAATAAATTTTAAAATATGTTGAATAGAATTAATCTGTCTCTATATCTAATGATAAACAAGAACTCATTTAGCAAACAAAGCTAATTTGCAAATAAGAGGACCATACTGAAAAGTATTCATTTTGTTTCTACAAATATTACAAAATTTTGAGCTTACCCTCTCCTCAACTTCAAAATGTAAGCACAATTTAATCCTAAATGCTAGCCAACCTGTTCACCTAGTAATGGAACTCACCTTAACAGATCAAAGAAGCTACAAAATTTTTAGTAACAAAAATCTATTGTGTGATATTCTGTCCATACAGCCCATCAGAGTGAATAGCTCACTTTATGTGAAATTATTTAATTTTGCAAAATTCTGTTACTAATAATTAACTAATTTATGCTAGAATCTACTTCATTATTCTGAAATAATTTCTATCAAAAAACATAATTATGCAGGAATAAAACGATAACAGAACTTTTATTATTCCCTCAGATACTATAGATGTCAGGTAAAAACAGGACAAAGAAGTTCAAATACTTCTAATTAAAACTTTCTTCTTTTGTACGATAAATAAGAGAGCTTAGATGTGAATTAGTAAAGTTTCTCTTTATATGTCTGCTATCTCACTCCCACCAGAGGCATTAAAAAGAATAAACTAGGAGACCAGTTAACTTTGCATTGTTCTGGGGGAGGTCTTAAATTCAGTTGCTTTAATTAAACTAGAAAATTAGAAAGTAAACTAAGAGCTATGAATTTTTACACAGTATATCATTTCGTTTTTATACTTGATGAGGTAAGTACAAATACTACCAATATTTTAGCAGAGGAAGAAATTAAAATTTGGATAAGTTAAGTAATTTGTCCAGGGTATTACAGCCAAATATTAGTAGAGCTAAAAAATGGACTCAATCTTTTTTTTTTTTTTCCGGTACCAGGAATTGAACTCACGACCTTGCACTTGCCAGGCAGGCGCTGTGCCGCTGAGCTAAATCCCCAGCCCCAAAATGGACTCAATCTTATCTGACTTAATGTTGAAATCTTCTATAAGTTGTGGTCTAATATTAAAGTTCAATTTCCTCATGACTGATAATACATAATTACATGAAGTTCTTTTGTGCATCTTTTGAAAAATCCACTATGTCATACTAAGAGTCACCTAATAAATTCTTTTACATTTATTTTGTTAAGCTGCTACTTCAAAAGGTAAGATATACCCTTTTTTAACAATGAGACTAATGTAACTGATTGGGTTATCCATTTTTTTGTCCAGTCATCTAAAAATTAAGCTAAATTTGGTGTTTATTTTCATTATTTCATGATAGGTTCCTGGTACATCCATTTCAAGAGATTTTGATTTACCCTTTTAAAAACGTGATTTTAAAGAATGCTATTTTTTATGTTTTTATTTTGAAAGAACTAATTTTGAGGGGGAGCAGGCATAATTCTAAATTACAAAGCAATAATATAAAAGGAAATCTTATGAACCAGATTTTATAAATACAATTTTTTCAAAATTAGGACCATTAACAAAAAATAACTGACTGATATGGCTCAGTAAAATTTTATCATAGATGAATTTGAAAAAATACTCAAGTAGTTTGTCAACTAGACTTAAGTTCATAAGGAAACTAAGCATATACTAAAAACTGCTTATACGTAAGCATGGTTTCCACCAGCACTAACAACAAATATGTAAAACAAAACCAAGCAAAAGCCACATATATGATAGAAGGCAGAAAAATAAAACAAACAAAAACCAAACAAAAAAAGAAATGGAAGCTTCATTTTATTTAAATTATTTTCATTTATATGGCATGCTTCACCAGTGCATACACACAGTTTAGAAACTAAGCATTTAAGAAAAAGAAATTGCTTCACGGTCTTACAATAAAGTCTCATGAAGAGACTGCACTAAAGAAATGGCTCTTATCAAGGCATGGTGCTGTACACCTGCCATCCTGGCACTCTGGTAGCTTAATGCAAAGGCCCTGAGTTGAATCTCAGTACTAAAAAAAAAAAAGAAGAGAAAAAAGTCTATCACTTTTCATTTATAAGAATTTTTTTTTCTCTTTCAGGGAGAGGAGAGAAAAGAATTTTCTTTTATGGTAATGTCTCTTTTCAGCATACTGCATAACTGAAATTATTAAAACCTAGAAGGAACTTGTACTAGACATAAAGGCAAACCATCTGAGTTCGATTCCCAGTACAAAAAAAAATCTGAAAAGCAAACTGTTGTCATTCACCTTGACAATAAGTCCTTAATTAGAGATTTTTGATAAAAATGTAATACCTAAGATAATAAAATGGACAGAGGGGTGTCAACTTCCTATTAAGAATGGATTTTTTTTTTAGATTCCATGAATGTATCTTACATACTTATAAATTTTAGAAGGCAACTTTTGTTTTGTTTTTTGAGACAGGGCTCACTATGTAGTTCAGGCTGGCCTTGATCTCATTATGTAAATGAGACTGGCCTTGGACTGCAATTTTCCTGCCTCAGACTCCCCAATGCTGGGATTACAGGTGTGTGCCAACACACCTGGCTAGAAGGCAAATATTTTAAATGTATCAGTAGCCTATTCTTCCAACTGCAAATTATTTTAAATTACAGAGAAATTCTGAAATGGTAGAACATTGAATTATTCAATTCTTCTTATGGAAGTAACTGCTTTAAAATAGTTAAGAATTCACATGCACATTAGCAACAACTTTAGTTTGAATAAGTATATGTTCCCTGTACTATTATATTATTTTGCAAAATAACATGGATAAAAACTGACAGTGATAGTTAATACTTATTATAAGCTCTTATGTTCCAGACATAGCGCTAATGGCTTTTGAAGCATTAATTCATTTAATATTAACAAAATCCTTTGAAATGGATAATTTTTTTATTATCTTCATCATTTTGTACATGAGGAAACTAAGTTTGGAGAAGTTCAAATCTGCCCAAGTAACTTTTAGGTCACTAGGTGGCAGAGGTGGAAATTGAACCCAGGCAGCCTGGCTCTACAGCAACTCAAAAGGATCAAGAAACACTAAACCAATTAGAGATCTCAAATTAAAGTTCAAGAAACATGTATTTATAAATATATAATAGGCTACGACACAGTTTGCTATTTGATGGGCACTACAGATAGGTACTACCTCAGTTTTCATGTTTAACTTGGGTGAGTAGCAATTCAATGAAATTGTGGTAAATAATGATAATCTCATCAGTGTATCAGCATTTATGCACAGGAGTGTTATTCCAGAAGGAATAGTGAAGTAGGATTAATGAATAAAATAAATATTCCCATAACTGCAATAATTGATTTTTTAAATGCTTCTAAAGAATTCAATAACTTCAAAGATACCCTATGTTGTTTTAGTGACCATTTACCTCAATATGTAGAAACACAGGACCAGAAAGATTAAAATAGGATGGAAATTAAAAATAAGATTTAAAGCAGAATTTGAGAAATAGAACTGATTAATATAGTAACAATTAAGGAAACCAGAAAGTAGGAAATTCTTAAATACAGCAAAGCTAAAGTTCTGCCCTCTCACACAGTACACAACTAGACAATATTCAAAGCCATAACATATTAATACAATATAGTATGCAAAGCTTGTTTTTAAAAAAAACTTCCCCTTCTCTCTCTACCAAAAAAATTGTTACAACCGGACCCAATATAACCACATGCTGACATACCTCAAACATTCTAGCAGCAGTACACCTCACAAGTGCTGAAGTATGGACAACACCATACCACAAAACAGTTAATAGTAACTCATGGTAGGCTGGATTTGCACTGGAAGAAAAATATTAGTGTTGAAATACAGAGCCACAGTGCCTTTTCTGTGTACACAAAAATACTATGTGTAAGAATAATTAATGATAAAAATGTTAGCAGAACACATGGAATTACACTGCATGGTTTAGCAGGCCACAGCTAAGAGTCTCTAAAAAAGGAAGTCACCTTATAAAACCACAAACTATATTCAGAAATCACACTTTTAGTTTCTCTAAGCATTTGCAATTGTGACAGAAATTTTAATAAAGATAATAATTTCTAAAGAAAAATAAAATTTCTTTCTAACAAAATAGGGAACAGCACTGGACCAAGAGTGAGATGGATAAGTTACATCTCTGTGGGTCTAACTTCTGTATCTATAAACAATGAGGAAGCAATAAATGCCTTTGTATGTCATGGGTTGTAGTGGGTTCAAATAAGATAAATTCAAACCATATATACGGATGGCTATGTTGTATGAAGCTTATCCAAATATGAGATGGCATCCTTAACAAATGCATATGCCTGTTTTCAGTAAAGACTGAGATAAAGCTACTTTAGGAACCAGATGATATAATTATCAGCAGGATTAAAGAAAAAAATAAGGAGGCTAAGGATCTCTCTTTCAGTTGAGGCTCCCTTCAGTTGTAGAAACTATTTTTTAAAAATTTTTCCTGATTTAATTTTTTAAATTTCTTCAAAGAAAACATGCTTATTACTCTTTATTCCATTTAAAAAGTGTACTGATTACAAAACATTAAGAATTCCCACCTAAAGAAAAACAAAAAATCTTGCAGGGCATGGTGGCACATGCCTGTAATCCCAGCACTTGGGAGGCTAAGGAAGGAGAATCAGTGTGAGTTGGAGGCCAACTTGGGTTACACAGTGAGTTCAAGGCCACCCTGAACTACACAGTGAGACCCTGTATCAAAAAACTGAAGCAAACAAACAAATCTTAAGTCCAAACCAAGAGAACTGTTGTACAGATTTAAAACATACGCATTCTACAAATCCAGCTTAAACTTTATGTTTTTTTTTTCTTCAGGTACTGGGGATTGAACCCAGGGCCTTTTTGCATTGAGCTACTAACCCAGCTCATTTTCTATTTTGAGACAGGGTCTCATTAAGTAGCTAAATTGTCCAGGTTGGGTTCAAATTTGCATCTTCCTGCCTCAGCTTCCCAGAATGCTGGGATTACATTATAGGTGTGTGCCACCACGCCTGGCTTCATAAGCCTTTTGTTTGTTTGTTTATTGATTGATTCATTTATTTATTTTCTCTCACTGTTGAAGCATATAACAGCCCCTCCCCTCTCCCCTTTCTGTTTCAAACTGGATGGCTGTTCCTTTGGACAGTTTTAAAACTTCAAGTGGAACTTCCCATTGCTATCATTGTGGGGCTTCTCTTCTTTGTGTGATTTGTATCTTCCTGAGTCTTTTACTTTTTTCTTTTATATGCCTTTTAAAAAACTATAAACTATTATTTTTTTTTTACCCCAGTTCCACAAAAGAAGCCTTCAAGCTATCAAGAGGAGCATGAGATAATGAAAGTAGAGTCATTACATCTTCTAAGAATCCAACTAACAGTTTTCGGTCTTCTTCCTACAGAGGAAAAATACTGATAATGAATTTCTAAGCAATCAAGTAGTATTAAATATCATAATTACTTCCCTGTAATTAGAAAATGTTACCAATATGGGGAAAATATTCTAATTAGAAAACTAAAGATATTTATCAAACATATCTATGATCACATCCTATGATAAACATATCAACATCTTATGGCATGAAGTCTAAGACTAACTTTAATTCTTTAATTTAAACTTGTGTTGTCCAATACAGTAGCCACTAATCCACATGTGATTTGGGGGCGTGGTTTGAGACAGGGTCTCACTACGTAGTTCAGACCAGCCTTAAATTCATTTTGTAGTCCATGCCAGCTTTGAATTCATGGCAATCCTGCTTCAGCCTCCCATAATCCTCGGTGCTAGGATTACAGGTGTATGTAACCATGTCCTGCAGAAAATATCTTTTGTTTTTGTTAAAAAATGTTAGAAAAACCAAATATGTGAAATTAAGAAATTTAAGAAAAATATTCCATCTTATCAGGAAATACAAATGTAAGAAGGTAAGATCAAGTTGTCATTAAGCATGTAGAAAGTCAACAATAAACAGCTTCTGAATATATCAAAAGATCCACAAGGAAGACTGGATTACTTTCGAACATTCCTTTTCCATAGAAGTTAGTTTTGAATGAGGTCAAGTAAAGGACTGACAAAAAAAGAAGAAAAAGATTCATACGGAAAAGGGAAGGATACGGCAGTTTTAAAATATGATAGGCTAACTAATGAGAAGGAATTGGCATCAAAGTAAAGTTGGAAAAGAGAGTTCACTCATTTTCAGTTATCAACTATGTCTACAGACATAACTGGGGAAAAAGTTATAAAGGAGTGATAAAATAGTTCTAAATGAGCATGATTTTTGAAAATTTACTATAATCTCAGTTTTGAAATCTTAAAAATTAGCAATGCTGTTTATGTATTTGATACAACATAATTGTGCTGACTACCAAAAACTGTGTTTGGTAAGAAAAAATATTAACTGCTATGTATGTTTTCTCACTATCTCAATTTACTAAATATTTCTAATGAGCTGAAAAGTTCTTATCTATTTAGAAAAATAAAAATGCATTTGGACTTTACAGTGACTCAAAAGACATGTCCTTGTCATTTATTTTGCAAATCTATTCTGAAGGCTTACTATTGGCAAAACCCTGCACCTGATTCTTTATTATGTTTTTTGGTTTGCTTGTTTGTTTGTTTTTGGTACCAGGAATCAAACTCAGGACCTTCCACTTGCCAGGCAGGCGCTTAGTGTCACTGAGCTATATCCCTGGCCCTTCTTTATTATGTTGTAAAGTGGTATTTATGGTCAAAATAAAAATACAAACCAAAAGCTTTGAAAGGGAGACAGATAGACACACACACACAGACAAAGACAGAGAGAGAGAAAGAGAGGGAGAGGCTGATAATAGACTTCTTGTGATATCAAACAGCTGAACAGCTTCTAAATTAAAGAGAATGGTACGCATACTATTGTGTCTTGCCCTATGCTAGTACCTAGTATCACTGATCTTCACCAATTTAAGAGACAATCTATTAACATTGCAGGACTTTAAATAATCTGGTATGTATCCATGCTACAAGGTAGTCTTACAAACTCATGTTGGAGAGTGCTTTTTAACAGAATTGGAACATCCATTGAAAAATATTATGTGATACTGCAAAACTGTTTTTCTAATACTGTAAGATCATTCAAATGTGTTTGGGAGAAGAGTGTAATAAATATGAACTGATGTACTTTGAATTTAAAGGACAGAAGTATTGTGGGTGAAAATTCAGGAAACCCATAAGAAAGGTGTTTCTTTTCCATTTTTACATTCTAATTTATAAAAATGGTTTATCAAGAGATTATGTAACGTGGGAATGTTTCACACTTCTGGACTAGGTTTATGACTTATTTGACCAATATACTGGCATGGAAGTAATGATGTGCTAATTTCAGGTTTAAGCTTTAGTCTACCAGATTCTACTTTTGCACCCATAGAAGCCTGTAGCAAGCAGGTAATAAATTCTGGCCTTACTGCTCTACATGTCAGAAGGGGAGAGAGAGTCCCTGAGAGCTCCTCATCCCATCAACAAAACAGCTTAATACGTCAATAACAAGTGACTACCAACAAGATCAGTAGAAGAAAAGCCAGCATGGCAAAGCTGAGATTGCTGAACCATGAGTAAATAAAATGGCTTATAACGTTTACAAGCTACTATGTTTTGGAGCAGTTACTACATAGTGACAATTAAGAAAAATAAAGTATTATTAAAAACTACTTTGCTGAAGACAAGCATTCTACAGCCTTTTGTAGTTTGCTTCACCTAACACATGTTCACATTTATTTATGAAAAATATATAATGAAACAGAGAAGCTGCTAAATAAGTGCAATCTAATATTAATAAATTTTTTTTCTTTTTTTAGATACCAGGAATTGAACTCAGGATCTCATGCTTGCCAGGCACATGCTGTGCCACTGAGCTATGTCCCTGGCCCAACACTAATAAAATATTAAAAAAGACATAATCTCTAAATTGATTTGTTCATGGGCTGGGGATTTAGCTCAGCGGCAAAAGCGCCTGCCTGGCAAGCGCAAGGTCGTGAGTTCGGTTCCCGGTACCGGAGAAAAACCAGAAAAAAAAAAAAAAAAAAAAAAAAAAAAAATTGATTTGTTCAACTGATGTTTTACTAAAAGCCTTATTATTCAAATATATTCTCCATTATAAATTATTAAATAAAATAAATTTTAATTTTCTTTTGTGTCACATTTTCATTTATGCTTTCACAACAAAAGATATATGTAAGGCCTTCTTCTAAATATAAGATACTGAATTTTTTCCTTACCTGAATATAACATGTGAGGACTCCTGTTGCATAAATGGGGACTGTAGCTTTAGTAAGGACCCCATTTCCTGCTGAGGAATCTAAAATTATTAAAATATTTTTAAAAGTCCAAGTGTGTTTTAGGTATAAAGAAAAAAATCTTGTAAAAGTAAATTTAAAATCACAACTGCTTACAAGGTCGCAAAAACTTTCATTACTTTGGAAAATACTGTGATCACAACACATTTCTACTCCTTGTCATAAAATACAATTTAATGCTTCTTAAAAGTTCATGAGCATGGACATTTCTGATAGGGGAAAAATATAATAACTAAATGAGATATACTATTTCTACCACCAGAACTCAGAACTTTCTTTGAGTCTCCTAGATGAACATATAGCCAGGTCTTCCTAAATATCTCAAGGTTCCTTCACTAACTCATAATCAGAATTAATAACTGGCTTAAACATATGCTATCAACAGTTAGGGATTCCGAACATCCCTAAAAGTAACTTTTGGGAAAGCATTTGTGGAAAAAAAAAAAATCCTCATTCATATTTTTAGACTTAGGAGAATAACCAAAAATGAAGTTTTCTAGATGACTCAAATCAAATCATTAAGGTAGGATACAGGCAAGAATTACCTACATACTCAAATATCAACCAAAGTAAACTGGGTAGAGAATGGTACATATTCCTTTTAACATTTCCCACAATTTATTCCTGGACACTAGAAAGATACTAAGGTATACAACATCCATATGTAAACATCCATTTGTAAATGGTGCTGTAAATAGACTTTTGAACACAGATCAGTGAAAACCATCAACAAAGAAGCTGTAACTACCCAGACAAGCCTATAGTTTCTTTATTTACAATTAAATTGAATAAGGATTAACCTCACCATCACCACATGGGAAGCCTATTAGACATGACACAGTTGTAAAACTATGAACTCCATGATATAAAAATTTCCTTTTCAATTGGACTTGCTACCTTCTTTATATAATTTACATATATGGAATACAGTATTTTTCTTGAATAAAGAGATTCAATATTTTTAAAAGCAAGAGGGAACAACTTACCAATGTTTTCTTCGGATAGTCTTAAAATCTCTTGGAACTGAGGTTTTACCTAAATAGTCCAAAGAAAAAAATCCAGAAGGTCTCAAGTTCAGTGGATTAATCAAATGACTAAAAAATGTTTATTAGTGCTACTAATATTTATTAATTTATTTATTTTGCTTATAGACTGTTGAAGTGGCCAGAAATATATTAATTTTTAATGAAGATGCTTAGAATAAAAGAAGTCAAGCTATTAAAAACACTTCTACGAATAAAAATCAACTCTGGTGAACAAGTATTTTCTGAATGGCCTCTGGCTTCTTTCCTTAAAATAATTTCTAAAATGATTTTATTAACTGATGGTTTATAATGTTGGGGATCAAACCCAGGGCTTTCTGTATGCTAGGCAAGTGTTCTACCACTGAGTTACATTCCTGGCCCCCAACATGAGTTTTAAATGCTTAAAATTACTCCTCTTAAAAATTGAACTTGGTGCTAAAAAGGCAACATAGGTAGATATTATTTTATTGTAATTATTGAAAAGAAACATTTGGTTATATTACAAAAGAAATGAAAAGGAAATTCTATTTACTCAGGGTCTTCACAACTAATATATTAATCATGTGATACCCATCATAATATTTAATTTCTTTTACTTATTTTTTTTCCCAGCAACTTGGTTTATTATATACAAATTCTTCTGCATTGTTGCTAACAGTTCACTGGTCCAAAATTACTAAAATACTTTAAAAAATTATACATTATGTAAACAAAACATAAGATAGCATAGTTCTTTGTACATATATTCAGTACAGGTTGTTAGGGATTTAGAAATATGTACAATTTTATACCATGGACTGCATTTTCACAATGCATAAATTTTATATATATATATTTCTTTTTACAGAAACAAAAATAAGATTTCACTAAGAACACAGAATATTATGTCAGAGATATGCTGCAACAGTCCGAATTCAAGAAACATATCAGTGTAAGTGTGCAAAAGGCTAGCTTACACTAAACTAGTCATTTTTGACTTTGTTCAACTTATGTTATACAGACAGGTAAATCTTGATTATGTACTTTAACCGAAGAAGCTTTGAAAACAACCTCATACCAATGAGTGAAATGGAACACTTTTGCCTCCCCAAGAAAAAAATAGTCTTGGTGTAAGCTAATGAAAAGATACATTAAAATATGCATGTGAATATACACGTGTGCAGACACACATACACAACTATGTACAGTATGTTTTCAACAGTATAATAAAATTAAAAGCTTTATGGGAGTTAAAAGAATGCCCCATTACTTAAAAACTGGATCATGTAGTCTAAATTCAAGATGCAGCTGTGTCAGGCTTCACTAAACCAGATGACTGAAAACCTGGGAAGGACAGATGTGGGATTTCAACTGGCAGATACTACAATCCGAGACAGAGATGGAGACAGTGAAGAAACATTAGATTCTGGAGTATTTATGGTATTCAGAATGGCTCCTTCTGGGCTAATGAACAATTTTTTGACAGATGTGTCCAAATGAAATACTGAAGTGCTACTTGGCAGTGTAGGATTACTAGAAAAAATGGCAGAAACCAAAGATGTCTTTCCTAACAGGGAGGCTGGAGGAGACTTAATATTTTATTATTAATTCCTTAAAATTTAAGTACAGTTTACTACTTTTAAGTTAGAACAAATGCTTCTTTGAATTTTTTTATCAGTGGAATTCTCAGATTTGAGATCACTGAAGGCAACCACTTAGTCTTAAGTGTTCAAATGACTCTAACTTGTTTTTCTAGGAAAAAAAAAAAGTAATAGCTACTTGTTTGGGACATGTTGACCAATCTTTGCCAATATCAACACATTTCATATTTACATACCAAATTTAAACTGAGAGGAAGACTACTATTAAAAAACTAATCTACTGAATCATAATTAAAGAACTAAAAGACAGTGAAGCAACTTCTTCATTGTCACACATGAAAAGGACAAAACCCAAATCATTTAACTTTTTTCTTAAAAAATCACAAATGCCACTCACCAGATAACAGGACCATAATCTGACGCTTCTGAATCTTGTCTGGTTCTTTTTATAGTACATTTTTTTTGCTTTAAATGTTTCAATACAGATTTAATAGTAAAGAGGTGTATTAAATTAAATGTGATATTTTGAATGCTTACCTTTTAAATGTCTGAATATTTTATTTTAGCAACTATACTTTTTAAAAGTTTTTATTGGATGTCTGAACAATTAGGGAAACAATATGCTACAAAGACAAATAGATTAACAGAATTAAAGAAGAAACTAGGATTTGAGAACATTCCAATTTTAATACCTAGAATTACAAAACATCTTGTATAGACTAGTATGACAAATTATACTTTTGGCAGTGATCAAAATATATTTATCACAAGTGTTAATGGTACTCCTAAGTCATAATCTTGCAGACAGTTATGGTTCTAGTTATCTCAGGGTTTTATTAAAGTGTGTTGAGGGAACAGATGCTTTAAGAATCTGTGGTAGATGGTAGTGCCAGAAGCATATTCAAAGGATTGCAATTCAGTTCCCCAGCTGATACTTCTTCTGATGAAAATGTCTGAGACATCTGTAGTGAGTCAATCTAACATCCACTAAGATTGCTATCAATCTTAGTTTGAATACAAACTAAGCTTAGGTTAAATCATCTACTGAAAATAAAGAATATTATCACTAGAATTTTCTTTAACATAGTATTTTAATATACTGTATTAAAATATAATTAAAGGGAGGGTTCATGATTTTATTTACTGTTTTATAGCATTATCCTATTATATTACTACATCTCTTGCATATAAAAAGCAAGGAATACAAGTTTTTACCTTAGTGTTTGTAAAAATTTTGCCAAATGTCCGGCAAAGGCGCCAGAAAAATCTGGAGAATTCATGAACACAGGCAGTTGAAGTAACATTAATTTTGCCAACTATTTCTATAAGTTGTGGCAACCTGAATATGGAAGGAAAGAAAAACAGGCAGGGGATACAAATAAGTTATTGCTTTCTTGCCAACTTCTGCAATGATGCAAATTCAACTACCATTATTATTTTTGTTTTTGAAAGCAAAGGAATTGTTTGAGATCCTTTGAAAGGCCTTAAGATTATATTTTACTGTATAAATTTCTTAAAATAAATTTTAAATCCTTGCCATAAAAATATATGAAAACTTAATAGTAGAGTGAAGTTAATAAGACTGAAATCTATGGATCTGATGCTTCACATAACCTCTGGATTCATATGGCATGGCCTTAAAAAAATGAGAAGCATGTATGTAGTTTAAAATCCATTACCACTACAGGACAAACAAGGCAGCAGACTGGTCTCTTTGACATAATACAGAGGCAACTTCTTCATAGAGGTACTTCTTCATAGTACTTCAAGATAAGTACTTATCCAATGGTATAAATCTCCTTTTCTACCAAAGTTTACTAGTCATACATAAACATTTAAATATATATTTATAATATTTTATCGCTAAGTTTCAAGGCTATGAACTATCTTCCTTTGAACTAATTCAGGTGTATCAAATGAACATGGAGGTGAAACTTACAATTGATTGACAACCCAAAGCAAACTCTCCCAGCCTGTTGTACCCTCGTGTTCTAGCTGGTAATCATAAAGTTGTAGCAGCACGGCTAATTGCTCACGGCTTCCAATAATAGTGGACACATCTTGAAGAGGTGACATAGGCCGAGGGAACCTAGTCACTAGAAATAAAAGATGCAAAATCACATGGAACATGGCAGTTTGAGGTCTTAGCTATTCTATCAAAGAAAAGTAAGGCCCCTTCCCTGATATTTAATTAGCTCATTATAATCTTTAAACATAAAACTAAAAATTAATCAAGCCATTGTCAGAAAAAAAAAAGTTCTTGTCACATGTGAACAAATCCAATATATCTCAAAAGTTAAGACTTTTATGAGATTATACAGTTAATAAATGAATACTATAATGAAAGTTTGCTAATGAAGAATAAAGTTTTGGTTAGGTTAAATTAAAATTTGCTCAAAGATAAGACTCTTAGATAAAACATGTATTTAAATTTGATTTAAAAAATAGTTATAATTCCATCATACTGTTTATGTCAATGAAATAGTAAAATGTTTCCTTCATGGGATAAGGAACTAATAAGTCAAGAGCAGGAGAAATATTAATAGCAAAGAATTATGACATAAAATACACTAAAGTTTGGGCTCTACGTAATTCTTTAGTATGTAGTTCTCAACATTAAATGCTGCATTTAATTTTTTTCATAGTTTGATACATAGTACATTAATATAAAATGTTAAGCCAGTGGCCAGTAAGATAAGGCACAATGTACTACAGATATTCTAACTAGGTCCCATATTATGTACTTCAAAAGTTTTGAGGTAAAACTGTAAAAAATTCATTTTAAAATTGTGCAAATAAAATGTGTACACACACACATATACATACATACACATCTACTAGGATAATTTAGAAGTTTAAACATATCAATAAAATCTATGGTCATATAAGCAATAATAAAATCCCAGGTTATTAAGAGAATACTTCTTGTATGCTTTTAAGTGAAAAACACATTGCTCATTAAATATATGTCAAAAACTTCTAATGGAGGTAACTCCTGAAAGAGGCATCATCCTAAAAAGACAGATAAGGATACAGCATTTTCTCAAAATGTATTTAATGATAATTATTAAACTTTAGAATATTTGAAATGGTACCTAATTTTAAAAATGTTCATGTTACTGTATTCCTATTATGCATTTAACTATATAGTAAGTATAATTGGGCCTGGCAGTGAATGCTTATAATCCCAGCTACTTGGGAGGCTAAGATAGGAGGACTGGAAGTTTGAGGTCAGCCTAGGCAACTTAGTAAGATTTTGTTTGAATTAATTTAAAAAAGGGAGGGGAGGAAAGAAGAGGCCTTGCTGGGGGATGCGGCTCAAGTAAAATATTTGTTTAATATGTAAGAGGTTCTGGGTTCAATCCTTAGTACCACAAAAATTAACAAAATTGCCAAAATATAGAATAGATAATCATTACCCTTGTTAACTGAACATTCTTATTTGGCATTATAATATACAAATAAAAGAAATTTGGATAATATGGTATCTCTCACCATCTAAAGTTTCTGTCTAAATTTTCATTATCTTAACTGAGAAATCAACAGATTTGGATGGTGAAAGATATTTGTGTTTAATATGTCTATATCATATCAAATCATATCTGAGATAATTTCAAACACAGTTCTATTATACTAGTTCCAAACTGCTGCTATGATGTTACTGGAAAATATGGAATAACAAAAGTAAAATTTATTGTAAAAAGAATAGGGACCAAAGACTTTAAGTCCGATGAAGATTAAGCTAAGCAAAACAAGGATTGCAAATAAACAATAACATGTACAAACTCAGTCAGTATACAAAAGAAAATGGTTTAGGAGCCTCAAAATATTATTCTATTTAATTGTCATCTTTAATAAAAAGAAAAAAATTGAGCATCTAACAAACAATAGTAAAGTTCCAATGCATTTTAATAGGCTGGCAAAATGCCAGCATTTTATTCTCAAGGAAATAGCCACAATTATCCTGCAAAATAACAGCTGTTGTGAATCTTTAGTGTGTTTCCTCGGTAAAAGAATGAAAGCTCTATAATGGTAAAGAACGTTACTTATTTTATTCAGGAGTGCATTCCAAATTTCTAAAATAGTGCCTGACAAAAATCTGGTTAATGTTATGAAATTAATTGGTAACAAAAATATGTGTATGAGATACTATCATTTATAAAAACACAAATCTTCACTTATAATAAATTCTATTCCAAAGTATATGTATATAGACACATAAACATAACTATAGATAGATATAAAAATACGGAAAATCATTATTTAATTATAGTCAATAAGAGCTGAAAACAAAAGATTACTTTGGTATAATAAAGACAATCACAAGAGGTCACATAAACATCGGCAGGAATACATCCAGAATAGTAAAGAAGTTGTTTTCAAATTGTTTTATTTAATCACTAGTAAATCCTTCTCAACAATTGGTATTTAAGGATTCTTCTTGTGTGTATGTGTGTGTGGGGTAACTGGGACTCGAACTCAGGAGCTCATGCTTGCTAGGGAGGCGCTGTGCCACTGAGCTAAACCCTTGGCCCTTTTTTGGGGGATTCTTTATTAAATATCTGAAGATAAGACAACAAAAAATATAGGCTGAACTGAGTTCTCTGTATGTTGAACTGAAACAGGATTGCTATATATGCTTTTGGATAAAATGAGGTCATACTGGATAGAGTAGGGTAGACCCTTATCCAATATGACTGATGTCCTTATAAAAGGAATAAACTGGGGCACAGAAAGACGTAGACAGTAGGCCATGTGAAGAAAAAGGCAGATGGAGGTGGTATGTCTATATGCCAAGACACATCAAAAATTGCCAGCAAACTGCAGGAAGCCAGGGGAGAGGTACCTAACAGTTTTTTCTTAACAATTTTCAGAAGGAGCCTACCTACCAAAACGTTGCTCTCTGAATTCTCAGATACAGCCAATTAAAAAGAGAATTAGATAGGAAAATCTTTAGGCAGACAAAATGCTTTAATGAGTAAAATGGTAAAATCTGAAGTGATTAGGAGCAAGTGCTTTATAGTCTTATCTTCAAAGCCTTTATGAAGTGTAATAAAAGGGATGTTCAAAAATCACATACTACTTTTATCTTGTGAATTCATACATCCTTGAATACAGTTTCATATCCCATAGATTATAGGTAGACTACAGTTTACTTTAGTTGAAAATTTAAAATTCTAAAAATGTATCTGCTGATGTTTGCAATGTTATAATTCTTTGTCTATTAGAAGGCAGTAAGAGACAAAAGTTCACAAATCTGAAAAATGGCTAGAATAGCTTATTTACAGCCATTTACCCTGGGGCTTAGAAGAGCGTTCTGCTTGTCAATTACCTGCCACATATCAAAGGTCACTTACTGGCTACCTGGAGAGTAAGAAAACACTAACATTTGCTGCCAATTTCATGTAATTCTAAAATTAAGTCAGTTCTTTTATAGACAAAAAGCAAATTTTGCCAATAAGCTCATTTTCTTTCTATCAAGGACATAGTAGGGGTGGAAGGAAGTAATTATATTTCCCTATATTTTCCTTCCCTTACTGAAAGTAAGATGAAACAGCTGGGGAAGAAGAAATTATAAACAAAACAGAAATGAAAAGCCTCATATACTGACACTAGTATTAAGGGGATCTTTTCATTGATTCAAACCTATTCACAGAAGGAAACATTTATTCCAGCTTCTCAACAAAGGCTATAAAAAGACTATAGATTAAGATGGAAAGTATAATATAAAATAATATCCATAGGCTTATCCATACGAGATGAAATCCTACATTTTACCTTAGATATCATATAATCTACAAACACAAGATTCTACATATATGTGTAATACATGTTAGTAATTATGCTATCATACAGAGATTTTATTAGGATTTTAATAAAAAAAATTCTCTGGGAAACTAAACTGCTAATAATCTTCCTTCCAAACTTTGAGTCCAGTACCTTCTATCTGTGGCACTTCACCATGGAGCTTGGCTTTGCTGGAGAAAGGTGCATTCTGTAGCACTAATGCAAAAAGAGATGGGATCAAGGACTGCAAGGCAGAGAGATACATATGGAGCTTATGCTCATCCAGACCGTGTTCTCCTTCCTGAAACATAAGGAGGTGGAAGCTAATTTTAGTCTTAAAAATTACATTGCTAATTGGATTCATTTCCTTTGTGGCAAATAAAACGTTTGTTGAACTCAAAACATAAGACTAACGGAAATGTTCTTTCAAAATGTGCAGAAGCAATAAGGCAGTGTAGAACGAACAGAATCTTTTATATGGAAAACTTCAGGGTAAACATCAGTCATTTCCAACACTGAGAACCTTTTTTATAGGCTCTCTTTTTCAGTAGAGTGGGTTTTATCTTTTAAAATTTTATAAACCAGGGTAAAGAAATTAAAGTGATCCACAGGAATCATTTTAGATGTTCCACTGTGTTCGCAACTTCCCTTCTTGTATTTCTTGTCTCCTTTTACATATTTGGTAATATTTGTACTTGCAAGTGTTAAAGTGCTTTAAAATAATTCCCAGCACAAAGAAAAAGTAGAAGAAACTTCAAAAAGAAACAATAACAAAAAAAGATGACAAAAAAAACCAGAGTTAAAGGTTCAGTGTGGTACTTAGAAACCCAATATGAAAGTAAAAAAAGATCATTAGATTAAAGCATTTATTGCTATTCAAAATCTACTTGACATATCATTATTGTATTTGAAATAGCAATTGTGCCAGAAATATCAGAGATATGAGTTATTTACCATGTTTGTAATTAAGTTGTTCATGTAAGAATTACTATCTATATTAGAGTATTTTTAATTGCAATGTGGAAGTAGTTGTGTTATCACATGGGACAAGAAAAACCAGAAATGGGCAATTCTCAGGTAGAAAGAATATGAACATTTAAAAAAAAAATTTCCTAGGTTTCACAGAACAGTATACCTTAGTCAATAAAAAAATTTTTTTTTGAAATTTACACAAATAGCCCTATTTTTTAAATTAAATACATACATGTGAACATATATAAGACCATCTACTGAGTAAATACAGTGCTTTACTGTAAGACTCTTATAGATTCTTTAACATTTGAGGCAGAAAAGATAAGAGTTTGGAGTCAGAGATTGATATCAGATCCAGATATCATGTAATATTACAGCAGTGAGTCCCTGGTAATTTACTTATATACTATGTCTCACTTTCTATATAAAACACAGACTACAACTCAAAGGGTTATGAGAAACAAGTAGGACTTTCATATTTAATGTATTTACCTTAATGGCATGAACAGGCATTCAACAAATGTTAGTTTCTCTTGTAGCCATTAACTATTGTGTCAACTTGAGTAAAAGAAATTTTTAGAACAAAAATTAGATCAAGAACTTTCTATCTACCTTTCCTCAATTTTTTTCCTTGGGTAGAATAACAGTTGTTAAATCATAAATATGTGCTGAGATACATTTGGACCTAATAATTTAATAAATGGAATTATCAGATTAAAAAAAGTAAGGAAATAACCTGCAGTAAAATAGGCACAGTTGAAGCCATTTTAACATTATATAAGTAAGAAAGCTAGGGCCTGGGACACAGATCAGCAGCACAAGAACCTGCCTGGCAAGTGCAAGGTCCCGAGTTTGATTCCTGGTACCAGGAAAAAAAAAAAAAAAGTAAGAAAGCTATACAAACTCAAATTTTAGTTATCTGTTTCTGGAACCATTTTATGTAAAAACAGTTAAACCCTCTAATAGAACAGACTATGCCCACTCTCTCCTAGCTTCACCAAAACTGCCTCATATCTCTCTTAGCTCAAGTCAAACAGAATTTCGCTAATTATTGGTATTAGGTATTTAGCTAAATGTTATTTTCTGTCTCTGTTCCCTAATATTCCTCTAAAATGTTTAGAAAAGATCTTTTGAATTGCTATAAACTATATAAATAACAGAAGAACTTACCCTGAGAAGCTTCTCAATCTTGTTCAGTAGTGTAGGTATAAGATGAGACTGTAAATTTCCAAGTTCTGTAGTCCAGGCAGCATAAGCTGGTAAAAACACTTGATGTGTTGCACTAACTACTCTTTCTGAGGGATCACCCAAGGCTGACTGCAACAATTCAAAACCCTGCCAAAGAACAAAGGATAGTTTTAGAAGAATAAACTTTCTAAAATACTTAATAAGCATCCATATTACTACTCCCTTGATTTTCTTAAATGTCATGTACACATTGATGAGCAAACCAAAGAGAAGGGTTGGAAAACAAGGCATACTTATTGCTCGTTTTGACACAAAGCTGTGGAAGATACTATGAAGAAGTCACAACAATCTTCCCTCTGAGTTGCAAGACTGAAACCAGGCAATTACCTCCAACTCACTAAAGCTGGTATAGCTGTCATTCCTACTGTAGATTATGAAGTATCTGAACCAAAGTTTTAGAATATTATCAAAAATTTTATAATGGTGTTAAAGAGATACATTCTGAAAAACACACCTGTTGATACTTGTCTGGATCATCAATGTATCCCATAATGATTCCAAGGCTTTTGATGACAGCTTCTCTTACCAAATCTGCTTTATCTTCCATTAACATCTGTTGCAACATTGAGAGAACCAAGGAACTACGGATTTCTTTCTGAAAATAACCAACATGTATTTACTATTTATTGACACTCAAGCAAAAAGGTATAGAAAATGACCAACACTGGTTTGTTCAAACTCCAGATCAAACAAACACTAACATTTTGCTATATTTGCTTTAAATCTTTATTTTTCCAATCATAAAACATTAAATACATCCAAAATATTGTTCTCTCCAAATCTCCCCCAGCACATTCTGTCTCTAGAGGTCATAACAGTATTGAGTATTAATTATTAGTAATAGTATTAAGTATTAATAATAGTATTAACAATAACTGAACAGCATTATCTCTCAACATGTTTGTTATATATAGTCTGCCCCCAAAATGTATAAATACTTCAAGAAAAGAAAAATAGTATGTTTTTTCAACAAATGGTGTTACTGCCATATGGGGAATCCTACAGGATGCTGTATATTGCAGAAAATCCACTGTACTACCAGCCCTTAGAGAAGAAATTGAAAATGCATGTGCAAGCTGGGTGTGATGGCACATACCTATAATCCCAGCACACAGAAGCAAAGGACTACCACAAGTTCAAGGCCAGCCTGGGCTACACAGTAGTTCAAGGACAGCCTGAACTACACAGAGACCCTGTCTCAAAAAAACCAACCCCCCCCCCACAAAAGAAAGGAAATACATGTTCAGCAATTGCTATGACCAAGGCAACAGTTCATCACACTAATGAAGGTCTGGACATTTAATGGCTACCATTTTGAGAACTTCTTATAATTGTAGAGACCCAAAGTTACTTGTATTAATCTCATGATGTCTCAATAAATTCAGTGAAATAGTTATCCAAGTTTTTCTTTTCTTGAAATGTTTATACATTTTTTTTTTTTGCAGACTATATTTACTAAAAATGTAAAATACTTCAGACCCTTACAGTAAACATTATCAGGCACATTTAGCAAATCAACAGTCAACACACTGTTACAAGTGTACAATGACTGTTCTACTACCATTTAACTCAGAGAAGAGTATTGAGGGCCTATAACAGGAGGGAACTTCTCTGACAAATAAAACATTTGCTTGGAATAGGATAAGGAAATACAAAATGCTGGCATTCCTATTTTTTTTTTTTTTTGAAGTGAGAAAAATTCAAATGGGATAATAAACTATAAGAATGAACTTTAAAAATGCATTTCAATTTACTATGGTAATATTTAATATGATGTCAACCATGGCTACAGCTTGATTTCATAGTTTTTTTGGGGGTTTTCTTGTACTGCTAGGGATCAAATTCAGGGCTTCAAGCACGCTAGACAAATGCTTTATCACTGGGCTATACCCTCAACACCCACATTTGTCACTTCTGTTAAGGAGTATTTTATGTTACTTAATGGCTGAAGTTAAAATAAACAGCTATTGATATTCAAATTCATACTCCTTCCCTCAACTTTGTGCTACTATTACAACTTGGTCAGTTTACAAAACTTTTAAATGTAAATTGTCTTGGGTGCACTTCTACATATAATAGAATATTATGGTTATAGTTTATGTCTGGATGTCCCCTCAAAGCATCATGCACTCATGGGGTGGACTTCTAGAGTTTATGATTGATTCATGGTCCAATGCTGGGAATATGGGTGGGAGTGGTACACTGGCCCTTGGGAGGGTAGTTTGCATACAACGCAAGGTAGGAAAAAAAGCTTGGCAATTTCTGCTCCTCTCTTTCCCCTCTTGTTGCTCTGGCTGTGTTCCCCTGCCATGAACTGTTGCCCTCTGCCATGTGCCACCCTGCCTTGGAGCCACTTGAGTATGGACTGAAACCTCCACCAACTGTAAGCTAAATAAACTTTTCCTTCTTTAATTCTGGGCATCAGGTGTTTGTCTCAGCAATGAGAGAAAAGTAACCAAGATAATTATAAACTAAGTACAAAGGAAATGACTATTTTCATACATTTATAGCATAACTTGGTATACAAATCAATGTTTACCAAATATTTTTTCAAGGTCTAGTTTTGGTTTTGATGCTTTAGAAACAAAAATAAAGTTAAGCAAAGTTTTGACATTTTAGGCCAAATCTACCTTTCAGCAAACCTTGTTTACTTACTTTTTATGCTAAACATTGCATTAAAAAATGACCCAAAATATCTTACAAGGAATTTGTGGTGGGCATTATCACAAGGCAAGAAGACAGAGGTGAATAAGTTTTAGAATGTTTGCTTCACATTGACCTGAGCTGAAATTGTCATTAGTTCTATGACCTATAAGAAGTCTCCACTGGAAAGGTCAGCAGGTGTTATTGCGGTTAAGCCATGAGCACACAGAGGAACTACTGAAGTGTAGAGATTTTGCTGTTACCAAGTGCAAGATCCTTTGAAGACACATTATTGCTACTGCTTTGTGTTCTACTAGCAGATTAGAGCAGCTAGCTTATTCTGAGAGCAAGTGATGCTCATCTCAGTCTTGGAACAATAAAAAAGATATTCAGACTCACATCTATTTATATGATTTATCACAACAGCAATACATCAGTTTTTCTCCTGTTGGATAAAAACATATGTATATTTTTCATCATGCCCGGTCCTGGTGAAAGTATGAGAAGCTAAGAACTCTGATGTATTATTATTAGAAGTATAAATCCACAATATCTTGGTTGGAGACAATTTAACACCGTCAAAATAAAAATATGCAAATACTGGAAGCAGCAAGATGGAGAGATACTAACAATATGAGAAACTTTAGAAAATGCACAGATATCCACACAAGAATCGGTCAATACTATTTAAATTAAGGCTGTAGTGGGATATAAAATATTATATGTAGTTAACTTGAGGCGCAATTTATATGAAGGTATGAAAATACAAGCTGGTATATAAATTAGTTTTTATTTCCTACAAGTATGAATTAAAAATTAACAGTGGATATCCATGGAGGGAGTGACTAGGGGGTCAGAGAAAGGAAGTCTTGATTTTTGTTTTCCTTTTGCATATATGATCATTATTTCATATATGAGCATTTATTTTTTATTTTATTTTAAAAATAAAAGGAGGAAAACAGTAACAGACAGAAAACCTTTTACAAAATAGCAAAAGAACAGTACAGACAATACAGAGTTACAAAGTGGCAGGAAATTAACAATGCTTGTTGTATTACATATTGATATCTTCAAAGTGGTTTCTCATGAAAATAGAGACATGCAATATTGATCAATCAAGGACTTATTGA